ATATAAATTATATAAATATATTATGTTAAAAGTGCAGTATTAAATAAAAACAAAATAGATTTTTTTTGCAAAAGGTCTAAGACGAAATCTTCTAAAAAAAATATTAAAGATAAAATAAAAAATTATACGCGAATTGTATATACGCGAGATTCAAGTTTCCAAATATAACTGATTACGCCTACGAAAAACTCCGACAAGTCGATTAAAGATGTCCGCTTCCATCTCGATGAGAAAACGATGATCTCGGCATTTAGAAGCTTGAGCTTCCGGAGCTGCCCGACGGAACAGGCGGCCGATTGGCAGCGAAGGGAAATTATTCTTTCGTCCGTACGATCGCCATCCGCCGCCGCGCGGCACTTCGTCGGGCAAGGGTTGATAATAAATTCAAATTTAGGGGTGCGCGCAATCTGTGATTCAGCGCCATTAAGCACAGGATCTCTCTAAAGGACGCCACCCCGTGCTTCCTCCTAACTTGGCACATCCGTGAGAGTGCCCTGACTCTTTAAACCCACTAAGAGGTAAGGGTCACTTTGGCAATATCGAAGGACCGCATCACGTCGATTTTAAAGTTCGCGAGAATTCAAATTATATCGAACGTTTCAAAAAGTCGTAAAGCTCAGCAATCGCGAAAATTTGCGATTGATTGTTGCATAAAAATATAAAGAAAAATCACTAACATAATATTTCAGATATAACTTTTGCAATAAATAATTTATTGATATATATGTGACATAGCGGTGTAGGCTTTTGAAATTTTTTTCCTTCACGTCATGTTTGAAAATTTCCGTATCCTAAAGCAAGTGAAGAGATGATGAGATGTATGATAGTCGTAAAAAGCACGCGAAATAAAATCTATCTAAGTACCCTGGAAACAGAATGCTGAACGAGGACGCTTTATGGGTAATCGAACCAAGTTTTTAACTGTTTAGATGTTCCTCCTGTCCGGGACATAAAATTTTTGTGAATGTTCAAGTATCGATTGCCTCTGGGAACGGAAGCTGAGCGCGAGAGCCACGTTGATGGTCGACGATTAACGTGCTCGTCTATCGCGATCGGTGATGCATTTCGCGATCGCAAAATCGCCAGCAACAAGCATTAAAGTTGTTCTTTCGATTGCCCGAGAAATGAAGAATTTCGGACGAAACTCGCGTTCGTTTCACGTGACGAACCACGACGGTTATCGCTCACTGATAACGAATGTGGAATAGGGACGAGAAAAAGAAGGTTTGTAGGAGGCCTTGATTTATATCGCGTCGATATTTTCCGCAAGTCTCAGTGTTTCTTAATTCGAGGTTTCTCCGCGTGCTTGCCACGAGGGTAATTCGATTTCCTGGCGAATCGGTTGGAAGTAAATCAGGGTACAGTCGCCGGCAAAATTCACTGCTGTCATAATTTTTGCGAGATGCATAACGATTGTTTCGCGACATTATACTATATATGTATAATTATTCCTCGCTTGAATCCTTTAATTCCCATAGTCACTTATAAAATCAAAATAAAAAAAAGTTAAATCTATTCTTATACTACAATAAATATTCTACAATATTATATATTCTTCAATGATATTGCTTAGATATATTTTTAATATAACGTTATATGTAAATAATTTCCAATATAATTATAACGTATTTGACTGAATAAAATAATCAATCATATACGAATAAGAATAAAAATTTAACAAAACAAAAGTTTCAAGAACGTTATCAAAAAGAGCCTTTAACTTATGCTTTTATACGTATAAATTTTTCGATATGATAACCATATATTCCGCTTAAAGAGCAATAAACAATCCCGTATAAATTACATTTTGCAAATATGTCGAACAATGCGTACGAAGAGAAACCGTAATTGGGTCGATCATAAATTATCCTGGATCCTGTTGGCGATTATTTCTACTTGGCCGACCATACGCGGGTTTTTCCACTGCTTCGCGCAATGAGTCCGAATTATCGATAACGCAACTTTTAATTCTATCTAAAATTAGACTAACTGATTCAGATACAATAATTCTCTTTTTACTCAAAGTATTTTTTTTCATATATTATATCCTTGTAAGAATTTCGTAAATTTGTCTATTAATATGTATTAGATTAATAATGTATATTCTATAACTTATACGTGCACGATTTGAGATAATAGTCATATTTAACTCATTATTTAAATAATTTATCTATTATTAAACGTTCTGAATATATTTTTTATTATCTTAATACATTCTATTTTTTGAAAAAAAAAATTGAAGTCATGTCGTAAATACAGTAATGGATCCAGAAAGACTTGTTCTATTTCTCTCCCGTCAGTCTTCCGGCGTTAGACGATCGTCGAGAAACGATTTGAGCAACTTTAACGTCGCTTACTCCGCAACCCGCACCCACGTACAAACACTCTTGCTCAGTTATCCGGGAACTAAGGTGCTCCTTCGCAAATCCGTCTGGCCGTCCAGCGACGAGCAACGGACTGAATACCAATTTCCAATTTGTCCGGGCATATCGGCCGGGCGCTCAAGAGCGTGACACAAATGCCAGATGCAATCAACGGATTGCGAAGGAAGGCGCACTTCAGCGCAATCCCCGTGTTAATCCACGATCATCGAGTGCGGTAACCCTGCCCCTTGAGAGGTTAACCCTCCTTCTCCTCAATCGCCGAGAAGAATTTATCCAACTTATGATATTTATTTCCGCGTATCGCGAGATTTTGTATATATATAAAAATTTACTTCTAATTTTTTCACTTATTTTATAATGTAAATTTTCTTTTCTTTTATCGCTAAAAAATTTGTGAAAAAGTAATAAAATAATTTGTAATTACAAAAATCGTCTGATTTGTGATGTGATTTGGAACACTATTTATAATTATACAAAAGTGATAGTTAAATAAGCGGCATCAAATCGAATAGAAAAGGACATCGACCCGCGACATTGCAACGAACGCGAAGCAGGATTTGCTCGGTTTTCTTTGGAGCGTCCTCGTCGTTTCAATATTGTCGCTATCTCTTGTATACAGTTGCCGCCATATTCTGCGAAAAGACGCCATATCACAGGAAGCTTCTACCCCCTTTTATACTGGCTTGTCGCGGACCGTCTCCGCGAAAACTACCCCCATAAAAGTTGACGACTTAAATCGCGGGGCGTACGCCTCGTCAGGGGGAAAGAAGAATTCTTGAACATTACCGCGCAAATACTTGCAATACTTTTCGACGTATTCTAAGATATGTTGCTTTAAAAAAACAACTAAATATTTAATTATCAGATCGATAAAAAATAAGTAAAAAATATCACAGCACAATGTGCGTTTCTAAAATCATAGTTTGTATAAATTATTAATATTACATTAGAATATTTCTCTAAGTCATTCTATAAATTATTATATAAATTAAGATATATTTTTAAATATAGTTTTTAAATTTTATTAAATCAAAACAATAACTATTTATATGTTCTTCTCTATTTTGTCAATTCCTGTAATTTTTTCCTAAATTAAATAAATCCGAAATTACATTAAAATATTGTAGAAGAGATAATATAAGAATATATTTTTAACTCTTTTTATTTAAGCAGCTGGAAATTGAAGGATTAAAACAAAGAATTATAGTAATGTCACGGTACTACCTATTGTTCTTTGAGATTCTTAATATTTAATCGAAACTCACCTGTATTTCTTATTGATTTAATATGTTGATGTAATTAATGTAAGTAGGCAAAAATATCGTTTAATATTATATATATATATATATTATATTTATATTTATATTTAAAATTATCATTAAGAATTAATCATGCACAGTATATAAATTTCAAAATGAGAAATCGAAATCGTTGACGGTCGAATTAAAAAACAATCTTATGAGTTTCTTTCTGCGTTGAAGAACGCAATCCAACAGGACGAGGAATTTACAGTCATCGTCGCATCGGGGACTTTTCAAACGGAATTGTGAAAGACATTCGATTACGATTCCGTGGAACTTTATCATCACCGTCCATAAATTCTGGGCTCGCGCAAAAGCAATCTGCGCCGGCGGTGATCCTAATAACCGTGCGGCCATTCGTTCGCTCGGGAGAGTGAGTCGTAATCCTAACCGAAAGACACTCGGCGGAAAAGAAGATGGGAAAAGGAGCGCCCGAAGTAGCCGTAATGAAGTAGATCGAGATAAATATGGAAAGAGGGCTTAAAATAAATGGCGATCTCGGCCGCGGATTCCGCTTCAATATGCTTGAAAGTGTGTCTCGCTGACGTGGCGCTTTGGAATTGAATGTTCGATTGATTAGTTTGCCGCGGACGTCTATGACGATTGATGAGGATACACAGAGTCTTGTTATTATATTCTCGAAAATCGCGGAGAGAAGAATCTCGTGATTATATTAAGATGATCAAATAACTTTTTGTAGTAATAAAATATAAGAAATATCAAGTACGATAAAAATTAAGGAAAAGTATCAAATAATAATCTCACTTTGATTATAATTTTTATCGGCGACCTTAATTTCAAAATTTAAATAAATGCCAGCGTTATTTATTTCTCACTGTTGAAACGTTTGCGCTTTTGCGGCTAATATGACCGATGTATGTATGAGGTCTCGATATATGTTAGGGACAGGGGTGCATAAATATATGCGTATGCGTCACCGCGCGCATAAGTGCCGATGAGGGGATTTGTAAATGATCTTAACGTTTCGTGTCAATCACTTACGCCGTTCCGACACGCACGAGCACGTATAGAAAATTGGAAGGTTTCAACCTTCATAAAGATTTTGTTAATCGATCAAAAAAATACATAACGTGTGTGTAAAACTAGCATATCATTTCGTGAAAGAATAGATATTTTCCAGAAATTGATATTTTCTTTGATTTAATCGCTAAAACTATTTGTTTAAATATCAAGAATTCTAGAATTAACAAAAATAAAGCCAGAGATCTTAATTATTTATCACGAAATGAAATGCTTCACACATCCCTCTATTACCGCTATACAAATGCTATAAAATAAACAGTTTCTCACTCACCAATCACCGATACGTGCAATAACGAAGTTGTAGTACACAGCTACATTGATCTGAAAACAATATATTCAAATTATGTATATACATGTGTGTGTATAGGGTGTTTTTTTGTAAGTTTTGAAACGATCAAATATCTCATATACAATGCAGTATAGAAAAAATTGTTTTTATTTTGCATACCTCACAGTTGACCCGCTGTTGCCCGATGCCTCCCTAGGCCTCCTCCTCCTCTCTTTATCCTTAGCACTCGCGGCACTCGCGAAAACGCGAATAATTACGATCGCCCGACACTTTACACGGCACTCCCGACACGCGAAACTTTACACGGCACTCCCGACACGACGCGTGAATCGCACTGTGTATCGCAATGCTACCTGTAACAAATAAAATACACATATATATTAGAATAATCTTATTATTTTGCATTATAACATACACAATATATAAATATGTAAACTAGAATTAACGATAAATATATCCACCAATTGCAACATATCGCACACGCGAAAACAAATTAGATTACGTTATGTTGATGTTGGCAAGAGATTTTGCATCGAATTTCTCGCGAAATATGCGTTTCAAACAATTACGACTATATATGAAATTGTTGAACTCATATAATATGTGATTGATAAATATTACAATACAAAAGTTAGACACGATTATGCTTTCTAATTAATTCGCTATTTTACAAACATCGGTGATTTTATTCTAATAATGCACGCGATACATGACTTAATATTAATAATTAATTGAAACTCGAAGGAGATTTGTTCGAAAAGATATAACTTTAGAAATATTGTATAATTCTCGAAAATCAAACTAATGTCTCATCTCAATATCTATAATATATATATAGGTATCCAGTTGTCTTTATTTTAGCTTAATTAATATTTTTCTTTTTTACTTTTAGAAAGCAAATCTCTTTTTAGAATTCATAAAAAGTGATAAGAAAAATATCGTAAGACAAAGTAATATGCTGCAGAAATTGTAATATTAATTTATCCTTACACATTTTCTTTGATGTAATCGTCAAAACTGTTTATTTAAACTATCAAGAATTCTATAACTACATATATTGAAAATAAAGCCAGAACTCTCAATTATTTATCATCTGCTATTAAATGATCAATTAGCACATACATAATTTAATTTCTTCATCCATTCCGTAAATATTTTTACAGAATAAGAAAAATAGAGAGTACGAAAACTTTTCGCGAATATATTTTTTTAAAAAGTTGCAGAAGAATGTTTCCATAAACAAATCGCATATGTATGAGGATTGATTATTTGAAAAGTAACAAAAACATTTTATATTTGCGAATTATTGTATTTTTTGTTTTTTAATTTTAGTGCTAAAAGATTGTTTTCAAAAGCAAATTTTCCAACTTACATTGCTGTAAATGAACTGATTATAGTATTTATTACAGAAATATTCGTATTTTGCTGGCAAAATATTTTGATGGGCAGAAAAAAGGATCACGCGCAACGCGACACGTAGGATCTACGAGGATCTACAGGGAGAAGTATATCGCTTCGATGATATATGTATACCGGGGATACGTTACACGGTATAAGGTAAAGTTCTCTCAAGACGCCGGAAAGCGCGCGCAAAAAGAATCTTTCGGAAGACGTTGCGGCGGCGGCGAGAAGGGGCGAAATTACGTCAAAAGTCTCGAGAATTTATCGGAGCACTTTTTAAACTCCGCCTTCGCGCGATTAGCATATTATTTCTATGGAAGCCGAGTGCGCGAACAGACGAAGAAAAAGAGGGAGAGAGAGAGAAACAGAGAGTGCTCACGATGCGGTTCTCCTCTATATCGAGCTAGAAAGAGAAGTGGGTGTGAGGAGCATATCAAATATGTTGATAAATGATTCCTTTGAGCGATGAATAGGCGGCGTCGGGTTCGTACGTATCCTTTTTCGTCGACGGCGGCGGCCAACATTTGAATGTCAGAAGAAACGCGCCCGTTTGCGTTTGGCGTTTCTCTCGATCTTTCGCGCCCCGTCGAAGTATCAAAATCACACACGAGCACGTTGCATCCCCGCCTCGTCGCGAACACTCAGGCGGAACGAAACGCAAGGAATTACGCAAATAGGTATTCGCGATGCAAAACTCGCCGAATTTTATATATGGAACAATCGCGCGAAATCGCTCTTTCTATTTTCATGCTATGCGCAATACTATTGTCTTGACAATTAAACGTAGTATCCTCTAGTTAGATATAGTTATATATAGACTGTAGTCTATGTATAATAGATCAAATTATTGCTTAATGTGAAAATAAAAAGCTCAAAGTAAAATATAATTAAATAATATGTATGTTAAAAGTATATATTGTAATACAATAATTTAAAAAAAAATTTATATTATCGTGTCTGAATATCTTATTATAAATATTTTATAAACGAGATTTTTTTCTCTCTAAAAAATAATTGAATAAGAAATGTATGATATTGTAGAAAGATATATATAATAATATATATAATAATAAAAAGATATATATATATAATAATATATATAATAATAGATAAGAAATATATAATAAATATGAAATATATAATCTGTTTTTAAAGTTATAGAAAATTAATATAATATTGGATACTCTTTTACAATGAAAAAAGAAACACACTAAATTCTTTTGATCTAAAAGTTCTCGTAAAGCCCAAGAAAAGATCGGAAGTCAGTTCACGTTGGGTACTGATGCAAAACAGCCGTATTTCCGTTTCGCCAATCAGTTCTGACCATTCTCGTCCTTTGATAATTTACATACAATTTGGCCGATAAGCACACAAAAAATATAGCGACAATTCGGAGTTTTTGGCACGGAATATATATATGTATAAATACAATGTAAAATACATTGATGTGCGTTACGCCCCCGCGAATTAAACGCATATTTTAATAATCATAACTGTTAACAGATTTTATGCGATATTCGCTTTTCCGCGCGTTGAAAACGTAAATGCGCGAGAGATTAATATCCAGAATTTAATTAACATAATAAAAGGAATATTGCGGAAATTCAATGAAAATAATATAAATGCGCGCAAGCGAGCCTTTGCAAGATTCAATGCTAAACTAATTCGCGCTACAAAAAATATGTATACGCATGTAAAATTTTGTTAATATTAATTTTCTACTACACCATAACTTATCATATGTATATATCATATTGTATATGAAAATGTGCATAATTATATATTACATAAATGTAAAATATATAAAACATCTTATTTCATTTATAGCATCATATTTTAATAATAGATCAGTGAAATTTTTATTACTTAAAGAAAATACGGAGATATTAATGTCGTAAACGATTCGTAATTATAATTAAAATTGAAATTTTCTCCGTTCTATTTTAGTATAAAATCAAAGTTCTTCTTCAAAGTTTTTAAAAACAAAAAAATTAAATGATTATTTTTGTTATCTAATGTATTTTCCTGAAGTCTAGAAATTTTATTTTAAATTGACTAAAAACTTATTTATTAAAAAATAATGCGATAAGAAATATTCTTTTTTATTGTGTATTGTATATACAATAAAATTATTTTTTTATTTATATATTAATATATATATATATATATATATATATGTTTATATATATTATTTTTTAATTTTTTATATTCTTTGCAAATAAATAAATAATTATATAGACAATATTTTTCAATATATCGTATAAGTATTGTGTTATTGATCAAATATATTTATATCATAAATAGAAAAATAATATAGAGCTATTTAATTTGTATTTAATATAATATATATATGTATGTGTACTGTTGTACTATAAAATTCAAAGCATACGTAGTTATCGACGGTAAGTCAAAGTTCAATTGCAAAAAATATATCAAATGTCGATAAGTTATCTGCACTGCGTAACATGTACCGACAGTGCTAAACATCCAAAGATGAATGCTAAATTTCCCGCGCGAGAATGCGCGTTCCCGCCAATTTGAACTTTTAGCGGCCGCCATATTGCGAATCCAGAAATTTTATGTTCACGAATCAGGCAATAATAAATATTTCACATAAACATGATACACACATACATTTTTATACATATGAAATGATTATAATGTCATAAATATGATATTCCACATATACATATGTACCAAGAATACAAGATCGAAAAGCACTCACTACTTTAGGTTCCCTCGATGAAAGAAAAATGCCGCCTGCAAATACCGGTGCGATTAGCTGTTGCGTTCCACGCGCGGCAATTCCGCTTCCATTATCGATCCGAAGCTTTAAATAAAGAAATAACTTTCGACTTACGCGCTCGAAAGAATCGGCCGACATACGCGCACGTTTAAAATAGACGCGACGATACGTCAGCGACGATAGCCGACTATTTTCGAACGACGACCGCACTCCCGGAGAACGAGAATCGTGACTACGCACACGCATCGCGACTAAGAAAGCAAGCATCCGGTGCTCAGGTTGCGTCTCTGTTTCGAAACGACGCATATCACGGCACAACGCGCCAACGAGACGACGCCATTTCGCGACTTTTCGACGCCGGAACTTTTTCACGCGAAGATCGCGATTCACGTACGTAGAGGAATTCCGGAACGATATACGTGGACACATTGTATATATATATATCACACGCGATCGACGAAAACACTTGACGCAACTATAGGAACGTATTCGGTATATGTATATATATTCGCGACAATACACAACGAGATTTTCACTCGCGAAATTTCCGTGTCCGTCCGCGACGAGGGCGAAAACTGTTGTGTGCAATTGTGACGTGAAAAGTTGACAATATCAGACTATTGCCAATATTGCCAATTCGCGCGAAAGTAGCAATTCAAGAAGATCGATTGTCGCGCAGCAGGTGCACTCGAAGCGGCAAATACAAATGCGTGTTTATATATCATGAGAATTAATATATATCTTATATTTATTTTCTTTTTGTTAGTAAAAAGATATTAGTATGAAGATGTATTAAATGGAAGTAAAAATCATTTTATAATAATAATGATAAAGTTTCTTAAAGCATATCATATATGTGTCATACATATATAATTAATATAACCCTTGAAAAAGTATAGGTTATTTTGACATAAAATAAACTCTTTTTCCTACATAATATTTTACACGCAATTTCTACGTCGTTTTAGAAGCAATCGGGGTTTCTATATAAGATTTTTTCTTGTGTATACCTAATCGTCTAGCCAGGCGTATGTATATAAGGAAAGTAATCGATAACATCCGCCGTGACATGTATTGCGCCAAACGTCAGCCGGAACGCGGCGCCTGTCAAAATTACACTCCGAGTCGACGAGGTGAGGTTATGCGTCTCCGCTGTTTATAAGCGTGTATTATTTTTCAGTCGTCCAGTCACTTTCTCTCGCGAGACGTGCGATGATCCCTCGAACGTTCGTCGCTCTGTTGCTCGTTGCCGCATCGCTGCCGGCATTCGGTGACACCGCCTCCGCGCATATCCATACTCATCAGCATAACAAGATCGACAGCAATGAGAGGATGGAGGATGGGGCCTTCAGTCCTCGCGACGCCGATCACTACGCGGAGGGCGAGCATCACCAGGAGTTCGATCACGAAGCCATCCTTGGTACGGAACTACATTTTTTAAATATATGTATAAATACTAATTTAGGTAGACGACTTTAACAAGAACCTAACACAGAAATTAGGCACAAGAAACTTTTTTGCAAATCTTTATTTAATTTGCACGTTTTTTTCCTTCCTTATATAATTTTCAATGGATAAAAAGAAAGTTCATGTGTCTTAAGCCACATCTCCGTCATATATCTGGTAAAGCTTTAATGCGATAAAGGATGAGATGAAGAACAAAAAGTTATGATCTCAGTGATATTTAAAACAGTAGTGACTTTTACTGTTTTAAATATTAAAATACATAACAAATTGAATAAATAAAAATGATTTTGAAATAAGTTTGGCATGCCTAATCTCTGCACCTGACTTTTATTAGACTGTTTCCTGCCTAAATTTGTATTTTTATTATTTATATTTGTTTATTAACTTTAAGTTCTCTTACAAAAATTTTAAAGCTCCAACTGCATTTATATGTTAATATGTTTTTATTATAACTCATTTTATGAAAAGTTAATTTTTCAAAAGGATAAAAAAATAATTTTATTTATCCTTCTATAGTCAAATTTATTTAGTATATTATTCTAAATATTTTATCTACTGTGTTTAAAGGAAGTGTAAAAGAAGCAGAAGAATTTGATAAACTTCCAATAGAAGAATCCAAGAGGAGATTAGGAATTTTACTAACTAAGATGGATTTGAATAACGACAAATACATCGAGAGAAATGAACTAAAAGCTTGGATCTTACGTTCGTTTAGGTAATATTGCTTATGTCATTATCTCATCAAATTATTGAAAGATCTAAATTAATAAAACTTTGCAAATAGCATGCTGTCTGCAGAAGAATCTCAAGATCGCTTGGACGAGGCTGATACAGATGAAGATGGCAAGGTGACTTGGGATGAAGTCCTGCAGGATACTTATGGTAGCGATCCTGAAGATTTGGCTCTCGATGAAAAATTGGTTGAAGATGATAAAGAGACATTTGATGCTGCGGATTTAAACAAAGATGGTTATTTAAATTCAGAAGAATTCAAAGCTTACACACATCCTGAAGAGACACCAAGAATGTTCCCATTGTTATTGAAGCAAGCCTTACAAGATAAAGATACAGATAAAGATGGATACATTAATTTTCAGGAATATATTGGTGATAGAGCCAAATCCAAAGATAAAGAATGGTTACTGTCAGAAAAGGATAAATTTGATAATGAACATGACAAAAACGGAGACGGTAGACTCGATTCAGATGAAGTTCTTTCTTGGCTTGTTCCAAGTAATGAGTGAGTGTATTGCAACTCATACAATATTTAAAATCCTATTACAATATGCAAATTTTAAATTTAACTTGAATTGCATTTTATTATTTTAAACAAATTTTACTATAATAGTAGATTTAATTTATAATAATAATAAAGTAAGTTTTTTATTCATATTGATTTTATAACAATTTATTTAGTTATTATATTGATAAAATTTTATTATTTTATAGATAAAAATCGTATAAATTTTACTCTTTAAAATTTTGTGAGAATAAGTTTTTTAGCAAAAAGTTTAAACAAATTTACAATTATCTTATAGATATTCGTAATAATGGAACTATCTCTTTTATATCTTCTTATTGATATTTATTTCAGAGAAATAGCAAGCGAGGAGGTGGATCATTTATTCGCGGGTTCCGACGATGATCATGATAATAGATTATCATTCGAAGAGATACTGGATCATCACGATGCTTTTGTAGGAAGCGAAGCGACAGATTATGGTGACCATTTACAAGATATCGAACGTTTCCAACGAGTCGAACTTTAAGAGCTACTGTGGTGGGCTGATAATGCGCATATTATCTTTCGTAATACTCATAAGATATATTTATTTTAGACTGTGAATATATTTTTAATACACTGCTCAAAACGATGATAAAATTATGCCTTTAATAAATCTTGTAAGTAAAATTAAAAAATTTTTTTAATTAACATTTTTTTTTTAATTTGTATTTAAACAAGTAAATTTACGAAACGTATTTAAGTACTAAAGTTGTAATGTTAAAAAAAATTATATATATATCTAGAATCTAATATCTTCATTAAATTTTGTACATATGTTATTTAAAAAATATTTCATAATTGTTTTGAGCAGTATATTTCAATTTATCTAATGTTTATATATTTCGTTTTATTTCTATGGAGCCATTAGAATAAATTTATATTGACGACAAGACACAATATAAGATTAATGAAATTTGCTCATTGTATATGTTCACGATGATTCACAGATGGTATGTTACATAAACCATCGTCTTCCAATTTCTACCAAACATGAGTGCCATATTAGAGAATGCAGAGAGAGAAAATAGATTAGAGTGACAAAAGAATTGTATTTCTTATTGAAAATATGTAGCATGAAGTTTAAATCTCCCATTAATGTTTTATATTATGCTATGTGTATATTATATATATATGTCTATTGCAGATAAAGCACAATTTACTTGAAGTCACAAGGAATTGATATAATTTTAATAGTTGATATGAATTAAGTTTTATTTCTTTGCACTTTTTTGAATATTATGTGCATTATCTATAAAATATAAATCTTCAGTAAGTGATGTGCAATTTTTAATAAAATATTTTAACAATTCTACAGATTTATCTTATAAAATTAATTAATTCCCAAAATGTACCAAGTACTTTGAGAAATGTATCATACAACACACACAAATGTGTGTGTGTGTATGTGTGTGTCTGTGTCTGGTGTCTGTGTGTGTGATATGAATGCGTATATGTAAATAAATATGTAATATTTATATATATTTATACATATACGTTTATATGAAACTTTATATATATATATTTTTTTATATATTTATACATATATGTATACGACACAATTAATATAGAGACATTAAGCCGAGTTTCTAACTCTATATTCAGTATAAAGCGATTCAGTTTCTGTCACGTTTTGAAACGAAAGCACTAAAGAAAGAGTGGGAAGGTAAATATTATTATTGTAAATAAAGCGTCACATTAATTACAAAATAAAATGCCGTATGCTAATCAACCATCGGTTCATATCTCGGATTTAACTGAAGAAAATGTTAAATTTCAAGTGGAAGATACGGAATTGAGGTGAGATACATAAATGAGGTTAGGTAAACATTTCAGTGTAGAGATGTAGCTTAATTAATTTATGTGTTATTATTTCAGCGTGGCAAATAGCATGAGACGTGTCTTCATCGCCGAGACTCCGACCATGGCTATCGATTGGATACAATTAGAAGCCAATTCTACTGTTTTGAGCGATGAATTCTTAGCACACCGGATTGGGATGATACCGTTGATCAGTGATGATGTATGTTATTGGATACATATGTCAATGGTTTTTTTTTATCAAAATCTAAATAAATCTTGACATGCCTTAGGTTTTAAATGATAAAAAAATAAAAAATTAGACACTTTAGTAAATTATATATTTGCAGTGCAAATAAGAATAATAAAATTTTATTTCTCAATACATAATAAGATTTAATACTATATGACTTAATTGATAGTTTAATTAACAGAATAATTGCCTTATTTAAGGTGGTCGACAGGATACAATTCACAAGAGATTGTCAGTGCATGGATTTTTGTCCAGAATGTAGCGTTGAATTCACCTTGGATGTTAAATGCATCGAAGACCAAACCAGACATGTAACTACTGCAGATTTTAAATCCAGTGATCCTAGAGTGTTACCTGTTACATCTAGACACAGAGAAGATGATGCAAGTGAATATGGAGAGACTGATGGTTTGTATTTTTTCATGTGTTAACGATTATTTTACTAAAAACATATATATATAATTAATATTATATATAGTAAAAATAAAATATATAAATATGAAATTTTTCAGAGATATTAATAGTGAAGCTAAGAAAGGGACAGGAGTTAAAACTTAGAGCATATGCAAAGAAAGGTTTTGGAAAGGAGCATGCCAAATGGAATCCAACTGCTGGTGTAAGTTTTGAGTATGATCCGGATAATGCTATGAGACATACTTTGTACCCTAAACCAGACGAATGGCCCAAATCAGAATACAGTGAATTAGAGGAGGATCAATGTAAGTATAAAACGTTTATCTGTAATCTTTTAAAGTTATGCTATATTCAATTGTATATATTGTGATGTACATTTTAGATGAAGCGCCATTTAATTGGGAAGCCAAACCAAACAAATATTACTTCAACGTGGAAAGTAGTGGTGCATTGAAACCTGAAAATATTGTCATGATGGGCATCGCAGCGTTGAAAAATAAATTATCAAATTTGCAGACGCAATTAAGCCACGAAGTACAAAGTGACGCATTAAGCATTCATCATTAAATTAATTTTGACTTTAGATATAAATAAAACTAAATATTTTATATCTTATACAAAATAAAGCAAAGAAATTGTAATGTATTCATTTTGATTTCAATATAATAATTTCATTTAAAAAATCGTATAATTTAACTATAATATTCGTCACACAAGCTTGTCGGATTAATTTAATTAATTAAAATAGAAAATTTTAATAATATGGATACGTTTGACAATGTCATAAAGGTGCAGTTAAAAGTAAAGGAAAAAAAAATTAAATGATTTACTTGATTATAGCTACACCATTTTGGTACCGCCTTTCGAATTAAGCGCCAATATATTTCAGCCAATAAGATTTTGCGTTCATTAGGCGATGCCGTGCATAGAAGTGCGAGTTTAACCAATCAGGAGAAATAAATTGTCTCTTTCGTATTTTGATTAGTCAAATTCCAATCTTTAATCTTCAATTTTCAATGTCGAAAGTAACGCGATTGTGATACACAAATCTAGCTAGATGTTCGATGCTCGCGAGTGCGTAATCACAATTGCCGCGAGCATTCCAGCCATTTTCGGTGCCGAGTGTGCGTATGTATGTTGTGTGTACAACATACGTCTTCGTAATCTACATCATGTTCAACATGCAGTTAATTTATTGCGGACTCTGATCCGATTGTAATATATATTTGGGACATAATCTCCCCTATCGATCTCATTGATAATCCGGCGAGTTTTCGCTATTTTTTCCGTTCCTTCATAGATTATTTACAAGACTCGCAAGGTAAAAGAGCGATTCGATAAACAATGGTGAAATATTACGAAAACATCACGATCTTTCATTTCGATTGGACTCAAGTCGTTCGAGGATTCTTTCAAAGATATCCGAATCCTCACAGGTACGTGGACGTGACATTACGTCATAATACTGTTTGAAACAGATCTTACATAACGTTTAATTAGTGATTACTTAAGTATATCAGTGTGTAAAGATATTTATGCGTTATTTATAGCTCGCACGTCCTCACAGAGGATACAATCTCCAGGGAAGTTAGAAATGGAAAGCTTTACTCCAAACGATTATTGACAAAGACCAACAGGGTACCCAAATGGGGGGAAAGATTTATCAGTAAAAATGTTGTTAAAATTGTAGAGGAGAGCATTGTTGATCCAGAAGAAAAAACTTTCACTACCTATACAAGAAATTTAGGATACACCAAAGTAATGGTAGGCTAATTCAAATCAATAACAGAAAAAGAAATTTAATGTTCTAGTGTTTTTCTTTTCAAGAAAAATTATATTTTTAAGTAGATTTGCACACATTTAATTTACTAAATTAAATTAATTTTTTTACAGTTAAAGTTTTATTTTGATTGAAATTATTGTGGATTATATGATTGACAACACACACGCACAGAAACAGAAATACTCAGAATTAAAGAGGAGATTTAATAGTATATGTGCTAAATATATTTATAACAATTTTCTTTCAGAGCATTGTTGAAAAAGTAGTTTACGAGACCTCAGATGAAAATCCAGAATGGACAGTTGCAAAAAGATCAGCATGGATAGACAGTCAAGTGTTTGGTTTCAGCAGGGCAATTCAAGCATTTGGATTGGATCGATTTAAGAAAAATTGTGCTAAAATGTCGGAAGGCTTTAATTATGTTCTTGCAAACATGTTTCCTCATTCAGCACAATTTATAAATCCCAATCTTTCTCAGACAAGTTTTTCAATGCAAGCTGGCCACAGCACCATGGACGATAGTGTTACAACAAAACCAAGTCTCGCGGAAGATTTACAGCATTCTCTACAGGGTAAAGCAGAGAAGGTGAAAGATGCTGCTAAGAAAGCTACAGATTTAGCAAAACAAAAGGCAAGACCAATATATGCAGCTTGTCAACCAAACCAGTCATAAATCTATGAACATACTTTGCGAAATACAATCGCCATTGATAAATGTAAATAATAATTCTATCACTTAGCGATAGAAACATTCGCTAATAATACTATATTATTGTGATGTACCTTAGACGAAACGATGATACATATATGCTAAAGACTAGCTCGAGAATGCAATAATTGTATATTACTCAAATATGATTTGGATGACAATTAAGGTAAAAAATTAGAAAATTGGTATTGAGCAAGTGAAGATTTAAAATTTATATGATTCTCTAAACTTGATAACACAAGATTTCAGAGTCATAGCTGTTATATATGTAAAATTTGAAAAAGATTTTCAGATCTGTTTACATTTTATCATTCCTTTTAACTGCCAAATCGTTGATAGTGCTATCAGATGTGATATACATGTATGTTTAAACATGCGTTAAATTATATGATACTTTTTTTTACACACAAAAGGCTATTTTTTTATTTAATTTGCGAACAATGTGTTTCGTTGGGTCAAATATTAAATAAAAAAGCATTTCAAGATGTTAAATCTATATATATGTATGTATGTATAGCGTTTATTTGTGTGCATCCATGCATATCTGTACAAGTTTGCAGTTGTATAAAGCAGAGCATTTTGTATTAATAGTTATAATATATCAATAGAAGCAATTACATTCAAAGTTAGTTTTATATACTCTTTGTTTTATTAATATATATTTTTTAATCTTTTAGGTGTATGAGTATGCGCGCGTTAATGCAGAATTAGTGTATTGATAATGAAATTAAAAGACTTGATTCCCATTTATTAGCACATCTTTTGGATATCGTAGTTTCTCACAATTTATCATGTTTTTCTATATTATGCTATATACATATATATATTTAAGTGATTTTTGTTATAAAACATGTAAAAAATCACATTTTAATGTTTAGATTATTATTGACTTAATTTTACACGTGTGTTACACATACAATTTTACCACGAGTTATTATTACAATTAATAATAATTGTTTATTGATCATTTTAGCAATTAAATGTTTAAAATTATATGAATGAAATTTTTCTCTTTATATTAAGTAAAAGAAATGTAAAGTAATTAAATTAAATTATATTAGAGAGATTTAAATATAATTTTAAATGTTTTTAAAAAATCTAAAAAGGATTTAAATATCTCAATTTATATGCCGATAAACAACGTCAATATTACTATAAATACATGTCCAAAATATGTAATATCTAATTTTTATGGATATAGATATTTTACAGTTTCTTATTCGTTTATGTGTCACATAATTTGAATGTGTAATAATAAGATTTTGCAAAAAGTTACCAAAATAATAAAAGCTGACAATTATTAATAATTTCTAAAAATGTATATTATTACTATCTAGAAATCTGCAGACGAGTAATTAAAAACTGAATAACCATTTTATATCATAAATAAAATGGTAAAACACACACAATATATATATATACAAATTCTTCAAATTATAATAAATTTCATATTATTGTTAGTCAATTTTTCGTAATAGTAGAAATATCTTTGATAAATTTGACAGAAATTAATTTTAATGGATTATATATTGTGACATTATTGAACTTTTTAATTATGCATAATTGATGAAAATTTCTTTTCTCAGTTTTCAATTGTAATTTCGAAATATATAACATGTTCCCGAAAAAACTTGACATAAGACCGATAAGGTAGAACCCTCCTAACCTTATTTTCACTAGCCATAATAAGAGCCACAATTTTCTATCTTGTATATAGTTGTCCCGTTACAACAACAAATATTGTTGTATAGTGTACAATTTTATTTGATATGTCATTTTTTGAGTTTTCCAAAGTGTCATTTTCAATATGTTTTATAGTTTTATATATATAAATTACAAATTTTTTAGTTGTTGAAGTATAATTTTTTTGAGATAATAAATTTATATAAATTATAATTTATAAAATATATATAAAATAATGGCCTCATTACACATAAGTCACACAGTTAATGACACCACAATAAAGTTTTTTTCGATAATTGAAAGATTGCTGTCATTAACTAGTTCAAAACTCAGTGATAAAAAACAAATCAACGCATACCTAAATGATCTCAACGAATTGGATTACAGATGCCTCAATATTACAAACAATGATGTAAGAAACATTTATATTTAGCACCTAATATAAATATTTTAGATTGATAATATATCAAACATATTACATCTCACAAGGCTATATTTTATTATAAATATATATAACAAAATCTTAATCTACTTTTAGGCAGTATTATTATTAGTGAATCAGCTCTGCGTGACTATTCTACCTACAGAAATATCCTTGGTTCAAAATGCATGTAAATTTCTATACAATTTAACTCAAAGTAATATCAAACTACATGGCCGGACATTTGCAACTTGTAAACGATGGATTTTAGAGGCATTAGAATTTTCTGAACCACTGGCACAAATTGATGTCTTAATCGCTATAAAAAGCTTTTTACATGCTGGATATTTTGATGACATCAATCATGTTAGTATATGATCTTTGTTTATTTGCAAGAAAAACATTAAATTGTTATATTATATATCAAAATTAAACATTGCTTTATGTTTCAGTATGTACGTCTATTTCTCAGGGATAAAGGCTTGTTAATGAAACATTTAAATTTACCATGTAATGCATGGTCTGAAATTAATTTCCATGCACTTGGGTGTTTAGAAGAAATTGTGGCAAACAAAAACAACAATAATCTTATATCAAAGGAATTTATATATTTGATAAAAGATATCATCTTTAAGAATCTATCACTTCCACCATACAGCAATAATGATAAGCTTTATTATTGTAAAGTATGTAATATATTTTCTGTATAATTATACAAAATGTTATCTTACAAAATTATATTTTTTAATTTATATATTTGCAGATTATACACTTGTGCTTGCATATTTTGCATTGCATAATGTTGGAAAAATTGATTCCTAATTCCTCTGATATTGTTGGAGAGATCTTAGGAGTGGTGCAAACATTCTTATTTCATGGTATTAAAGGTTACACAAACATAAAACCAGAATTACTTCGTCCTGCAGCAATGAATCTTCCAGAACGTATTCATGTGGTTCCAAAGTGCAAAAATCTTAAAAATCACAAAGCAAAGTCAAAAAAGACAGCTGTTAAGAAGACTACATCTGATGTAGAAAATAGTACTCTTCCAGAACATACTGGAACTTTTAAATATTCCAGTGATTCAGATACATCGGATACAGAATTTAATAATACCTTCCATATAGATTCCAAAATAAGATTGGGAGCTGTGCGTTTATTACAGACTCTTCTAGAAACTAGTCAGAGTAGAGAGATTTTTGGATACTGGCCACAAATTGTAGCAACTGGTTCACGAAACGATGCCCGAGTATTAACGAGAAGCATATTGGTAGAACCTACAGCTAAAGTTCGACAAACTGTATTAAGCGTATTAACTGAATTGTTGATAGGTGCTAGACCATTCTTGATACATGCAGAAGATACCGACCATACTTCTTTCATCACTTTTTTCGGCACAGTATGTTTAATGATCAAAGAACTACATTTCACATTATCATTAATTCTTCTTACTGAGAAAAACGCGACTGTATTAACGCACGCATTAAAATGTGCGGCGGCTCTTGTAGAAGGTACACCATATGAACGATTGAAACCAGGTTTAGCTAGCAAATTAGCAAGGAATTGTAGACCACATATATTTTATAAAGGTAATATATTATCCTATTATTATACATAATTTTTAAGTTACTATTATCATAACTCATTTATTTGCGTAGATCCGACTGTACGAGTTGCAGCACTGTCCGTTTTTGAAGCATTTGCTTCCAGTGAACCTATCACTCAGGAAATATTAAGCATATTATCTAAGCAGTCTATAGGTGATACAGAATTGGGAGAGTTACAACTTGATACTGGTTCAATCAATGATGTTGGAACAGAGGAAGAAGAAATAGATATTGAAGATGTCAATCATTTAGAAAATAGCTATAATGAAATTAAAACGTCAAAAGATGAAAGTATCTGTTTGCTGATTCACACTTGCTTAGAAAATATATCTAATACGGTATGTGATATCTATATTTAAAATAAAGTCTTATAACTAAAATAATAATTAGTCATATTGGAAATTTATATTATTTGTTTTATTTTAGACAATTAGTACACCTGTACGACTTCAATCTTTTAAACTTATAGGAAGATTGGCATTTAATACAGGAAGTCTCGTATTTCCTCATTTAGAAAAAGTTACCACAGTTTTAATTTCGGTTATGGAGGAATCAGAAGGTCAAGTAATATTACATGCGTGTCGGGTGTTAGAAATTATGTCCGGTTGTCTTGCAAATATTGAAACTTATCATAATAATGGTGTACTATTTTGGAACATTATATTTGAATCTATGATATCACTCGCCCAGACGTCGCAAACTATATGGCGAGAAGCCGCTTGCGATTGTCTGGGTAGCATAAATGGAAATGTATTCACACAGTTATCGGTAAGTGAGTTGATAAAAAGAATATAATTATTTAAACTTTTATTTTAATCTTTTCTTACAAAGCAATTACTCTCCAAACACATTCGCCATTAAAAAAATATTTTAATATTTTGTATATATTGGTGATAATGTGCAATATTATATTAGAAATTATTTTCGTATACATTTTCAGAGGCAAAAAACAATACTAATAATTACAATACTATTTGGAGCAGTTCGCGATGAAGAAAGTGCTGTGAGAGCAGCTGGTTTACGTGCATTAGGAATGTTGGTAACTTTATCAGCATTGGAAGAGGATACTGGCTTCCTTATGGATCTGGCCGATATAGTTTGTTTGGCTTTTGATGACAAAAATCTCGGTGTTCGTGTGAAAAGTGCTTGGGCATTGGCAAACTTGTGTGATTGTCTGTCTAGACAAAAGTCTGTTTCAATTTTTTAATTTTATTTGATAAAAAAATATTTCTTATATTCTTAATGACATATATCTTTTATCTATACAAATATATTTTTACAGACAGCATGAAGAGATAGAACCACTTCCTTTGGAAGTTTTGCTACCCAAATTATATCAAGTAAGCGTCAAAGCTACAAAAGATCATGATAAAGTGAAATGTAATGCTGTTAGAGCAGTTGGAAGTATTTTATATCTATGTCCACAAAACCACATACTTTCCGATACAACATTAGGATTAAATGCACTTATTAAATGTGCTGTTTTAGGAAACGATATGAAAGTAAGTCTCATTATAATTTTAAAGATATATGTTATACATGAAATATTATATTTATTCAAAATTTATGTGACCAAGAAAAAGAACATCTAATAATAATAAATATTTATTAGTTATTTTAGTGAATAAACAGATTTTTCTTTTTTTTTTTAATTTATAATTTTAGGTACGATGGAATGCTTGTCGAGCCTTAGGTTTAGTTTTGAGCCGCAATCCAGATGCAATTTTGCCATCTTCTTGGAAAGTATGTATTTGAAAATGTGAAATTTTACACAGACACATAAATATTCACATTTAATAATAATAATTGATTTTGTATAAATTATGAAATTAAATTTTTTTAGGATCAAGTATTTCCAGCACTTTCCACTTTGATATGTGAGAGCCCTAATTTTAAAGTGCGTACCAATGCAGCATGGGCACTGTATTCATGTAACAATTATGGTAAATATACTGTAATGTTGTGGAAAAGTATTGTAGTAGCATTTGAAAATGCTCAACATGTTCCAAGCTTTGTTGAATATTCACATCGAGATGCGCTGATTGAACAAGTAAATATACTGCAGACAACATATTCTTGATATTTTGTTATATAAGTCATTAACATAAAATATTTTTTTAGTTGTGCCTTACTCTTGCTCGTGTTGCGGCCTGTATAGAAAAGTCTGAACTGCAAAGTCTTTGGCTCGAAATAGGCGATCATTTGGAGGAAATTTCTAATGTTATGAAGCAATTTCAGGTATAATTAACATAAAATATATTCACAAAATAGATCTAATATATGCAGATATTGGAATAATGATTTTGTAATTTTAATATTTCTAATATTTTTATTATAGGAAACTGTTTTGCCTGAAAAATTGGGAGATTTAATCAAAGCAAAAGCCCAGTTGGAACAATTAATGAAAAATACATATTGCATCGAAGAACAACAAATTGCTCGATCTTTGGCAAATATATTTGATAGGACTAATCGCTATGACAATTTAGATGCCATGACACCTACAATATAGATTTGTAAAGTATGAGAAAATAAGATTTTTTTCAAGCAAATTTTTAATATTTATAAACATCTAATATTTATTTTAAAAAAGATCTTAATAAAACATACTCATCACAGACATATTTACATACATGAAAAAACACATATGGAATTTGTATTATAATACAGAATGATATAATTCTAATCAATGATCATTCAAATAAATTATTTGATTGTTAAATTTTGATTATACATACATGTATAATCAAATTGTATATCTAACAAGATATTAAAAAATGTTGATATAAATTGTCATGTATCATTTTCACATTGAATGTTTTTATTCGTTTTCACTTCAAAAGGCTCTTTTAACGAATGTTCTTGATTTTCTATTTCATTTTTTTCTCCAGTAACTTCAGTTTCTTCATTCTCATCTGAACTGTCTTCGTTGCTGCTTTTTTCATCTGTGATAACATTATCTTTCTTTGCAGTTTTTATTTGTTTCTTCTGCTTGCGTCCTTGTTTCTTTCTCAATCTCTTAGCACGTTTTTTCGCTGTTGCTTTTTCTGCCAATCTTTTATTTTCTTCAAGCTTTTGATGATATTCGTCATCCAAATGTTCCTGAATTATTATAAAGCAAGAAAAAACATCTTTAAATCAATAGAAAAAAATTAAATAATTTTTTTCATGCAAACTCCAATATATACATAAAAAAAATCTTTATACACAGTAGTTACCTTTTGCGCTTTTTCCTGAATAAACTTTTGTCGCGCATATTCTTTGCGCCGTAAATGTCTATACACGTGAAACTCTCCACTGCCTGCTCCAGCACTGCTACCCATAACATTACGCACAAATTCCGGTACAGAGGGTGTATTTTTGGCTTTCGGACGATCTGGTAATATAACTGGTTTATCCTAAAAGTAATTGGAGAAATTTATGAATTTTTATTTCAAGATAGTTTCGCGCGCACAGAAATAATCAAATTTCTTTTCTCTTTAGAATGCATGTATAAACTTACCATGTTTTTCATTAATTTCATTAGTTTTAATCTTTGCAAATCCACTGCTGTTTTTGCTACTACAGGTTTCTCTTCAGGTTCCTTTTCTTTATTATCTGACATCTTTTTATATTGTTTAAATGGTCAATAATTAAATAAGTAATAATTCTTTTCGTGCCTTTCTCGTAAATAACAGCGAACAGCTGATTATTTGTGATGAACCATAAACAACATATACTCATAGATAGGTTTTGCCTAGCAATATTCATTTCGTGCTCCTTTCCGAGAAAGCGAGAATTTGATTGGTTAGAATTTATCAAGCAAACGCAAATGCGAATTATAATAAACTGTCATTTACATTTAGTCATGTAATTTGAAATAAATTGTCAGACAAAATTCTCAGTTATACATTGCAAAAATATTTTATTTAATATAAGTTTTTAAATTTTTAAAAGTCTCGCTTAATCGTTCAACTAATATCGATTGGGGCCAATTACTATCGATTATGCATGATGGTGAGAAAAGCAGCTGAATATTTGAAAAAACGTTAAAGGACGAATGAAGCAAAAAATAATAGCTTTGAAACGATTTTCTTTAGATAGTTTTCTTTCTTTTTCTTGAAACAGGTACGTGTTTCAAATACAGTGCTTGTTTAAGTGATATGTGATGACTGTAAATATGTGTTTTATTGTCAAATTTGAGAGAGTAAAATTATCAAGATCTGTCAGATTTATAATCTAACCTCTTCACAAATATAAATGTGCTAAATTACACATTTTTACACATCAAAACATTCTTTTATTAAAAAGAAAGCATTTTTTTTCTTATTTTCTTAAATATTATATTATTTATATACAATATTTCTTCGAAAAAATAAATTGAAATCAATGTTAATCTTTTTTATAATAATTAAAAATAAATATTAGATAATTTAATTTCTTTCATTATAATTCTAATCAAAGAGGAAAATAGATTTATAGTAAAAAAATTATTGTAATTTGTATATTATTAAAATCTCTAATGCAGATATGGAAGTGGATACATCAGATGAAGATATAGAACATATAAATCTGGATAATTCATCACCTACTTTAATTGATGTTATTGATTTAACTAAAGAATCACCAAGAAACAGACCTTCACAACCTGGACGTACTAGAAATGCATCTGCAAATCCTTACGTAACTAAATCAAGTGCATCATATCAACATAGACGTGTCGTGCTTCCTATAGTTCTAGGAAGGAGACAAAATCGAACGTTTGTATATAATATTTTACTTATTTTGCAATAAATATTAATCAAAATATACAAATTAGAAAAGAATGAGATGAACACAGTAGTTTAAGATGGATCAAGTAGATTCACATCATAGATTAGCTTATATTCCATGTTCAGAAATTATGTCCAGAAATATTTATTTAAGATTTAAGACTTATTGGAGAGATTAATGATTGATTAATAAAATTGTTCTTATTGATTTTAATAAATAATTATCAGTTTTTGTTTATCCTTGCAATTCTGTATATTTCTTATTTACATATATATTTAGTAATAAAAAAAATGTTTGATTTTTCTTCGATATGCATTTACATAAATTTTTACTAACTTAAAACTGTTTTAATAAACTGTACAAAAACCTAATCTTTTTGCATCTTGTGTACACACAATGTAGTGATTATAAATTTTTATGATTATAAAATATATCTTTTTAGAGATTTTCCTCCAATGAAAAGAAGAATGCGTAACAATAATGAAATTGTGAATCTTGATGATACTATTGTACTTGAAGAAAAAAAGATGAAGAAGCAGGTAAACAAAAACGGATAAACAAGAAGCAGATAAATATTACACATTTCAGTCAGATAATGCAGATAATAAAGTGCCAATATCTTTAACATGTCCAATATGTTTGGAAACATTATCTTCTCGTTTAAAACCCACTTCTACTCGTTGTGGACATATATTTTGTGCAAAATGTTTGGAAGAATCTATTCGTAAATATAAAAATTGCCCAACCTGTAAAACAACTTTAAAATTAAAATCTTGTATTCGTTTATATCTTTAAATATATTCATTATTTATATACGAACATTACATAAATTCTAATTTGTTCAATATTTCTTTACAATATGATATTACATATACATTAATTTAAAAAATATTCTAAATTTACTTAAATTGTTTACTTGTAAAATTGTCATTATCTTAAGTAAGCTAATGATCAGGTTCTTAAAGTATCTTTGTATATTTTAAAGATCATATCAATTATGGTATTTGATGTTATTAGGTTTTCATTATTAAAGAAAGATTATATATGAAATTGTCATTTTTGTCCAAATGGCTTTGTCAGAAAATCACAATTAATAAATATAGCAAAAATTAGATTTATAATAAAGGTTTTGTATACAAGTTTTGTAACTGTCATCCTCTTTTAGGTAATTAGTTTTGTATTAATTTTACATATTATTCAACATAAATTTAGCATATATAATATGAATAATTATTTTCATTTCTTTTAATAATAAAATTGTATCTTTTAGGTGTAATATGAAATGATAAAAAAATAAAGTGATTTGAAAAGTTTTGTAAATTGTAATGCAATTTCATATATCTTTATAAATACTTTATACTATTTATATAATCCGCAAATAGTATTGTTTCCTAGGACATATTTTATAGTATTAAAAATTTATGATATATGTATACATACATGTAATGTAATGTACAAATTTTTTAAATTTTGTTTTTTTTTAATATTTATGAAGTTATAAATTTTATACTGATTTTATAATTATAATTTTTATTTTGAAGAAGAAAACAAATATATTATTAATTCATATTATATTAACTAATATTAACATAAAACTCTTTAAATGCATATAAACTGTATTACAATAACATATTATTGATATTGTATTTTTATTTTTATTATATTTTTTATTATCTGGAGCAATTAAAGATATTTTAACCTGAATTTTGATTTATTTTATATTATTTTGATTATCATTTTTATTATGTTGCTTGTATTATTACTTGACTTTATGCTATTTTTTACAAAAGAATACATATATATTTGTTATTCTTTATATAGAGATAATAGGAATATAGATTTCATGGTTAATAGGTGGAATCTATTTCAAGGAAATATAGAAATATCTTTGATACTCTGAAAAATAAAAAAGAAACCATGTTTAAAAAAGAAAATGTCCAATATTATATTGAAGTTACTGTAGGCGTAACAGGTATAAACAAGATTACAATACTTATCTCAATCGATCTATTCCTGTCATAATATGAAATGTGTTTGTAGTAAGACTATATGTTGGAAAACTTTTATCTCCCAATACATCTGTTATCAAAAATAAGATATATCCAAACACATTTGATATTCAAAGTAAGATATATCTAAATGCTATCGCTTACTTATTGTAATGTTATTATAAATGTCTTTTATACATTTTTATTTAACAGATACTCCTGTCCATCAAGCTATCAGCAAGATATGAAATCTCGAAGATGTGTCTATTGATAAATGTCATTCACACTTCAAGAGTCCTTCCTGATATAGTGACAATAATTTCGAAGGTTTATACTTCTAATGACACTGTTAGTAAAAAATAGTATTAAGTAATTCTAACATAAATATTGATACAAAGACTAGTGAAAGAAATGAAATTGTATGACAATTCCTACTTATAAATCTTATCAGATTTTAGATGAGGAAAAAAAATTTATCTCACAATCAGAATACAGAAGCATATATTTCCTTAACAATGTGAAAAAAATACATAAAAATGCACATGAAAATACAATTCGATATTAAAATCAGATTTATTGAATGTTAAGGAGATTGATAACATTCCAGGAATCATATTTATTGAGACTCCATTTGATAGCTTTAAAGAAAGTATCTCTTTGCACAATGACAATAATATTTCTACATGTAATACAATTATAAACATGGAACAAGCAAATTTAAATTCTACTCTAAATGACTATGATAAATTTAATGAATATAATCTACAAAATGTAATATTTCAAATCTTGTTCACATCTACACATCAATTTTTATATATTTATTTTATATTTTTTCTTTTATTTTTCTTTTATATTTTCTTTTATAAATTATTATACAGATTCTGAGATATATATAGCAACGTATGAATGTTTTATGAATAAATTCTTAGTTCATGATAAATAATATCTAATATTAAATAATTTTTTTCTTTTTTTTTTATAACATTTTTTTATGAATTATTATACAGACTCTGATACATATAGATGGTAATGTACGAAAGTTTTGAATAAATTCTTAGTCTCTCTGTTTATGGTAAACAATATCTAAAGCAAATAATTATCAACGATAAAGGAGAGTGACTTTGTGCAGAGCATGAAATTCAAAATCCCGCGCCATTTTCCCTCGACGACGCAGCCCTGCGTTTGATTGGCCGGGCACGCCTACGTTATGGCGGCGCGGCAGAAAAATGAGGTACACACAGCCCGTTGCGGTGGAAGGGCTGCGATGAAGACGAATCGCGGTTTTGTTGTTATTTCGCGTACTGAGGCGAGTCGCGACGCGTTTTCTCGCGGCGAACGGTGTGCGACGCGTGCCAGGTGCTACGAGACGTGCGTGTAGGAGCTTGTTCGCGTGCGTAATCCCGCGCCAGCACACGAAACGGGGTTTTTTCCATATCGTGTCGTGTCGTATCGTGTCATTGACTCAGGACGAAGTGTCAAAATTTATCCGTGTTCTCCGTTCACCTCCCCCTTGACCTCCCCCCCGCTCGCGTCATCCGCGCGACACGAGAGTGCGAGATATTAAAATCTCTTCCGCGAATAAAATCTCGACGATAATCCTCGTCGTCCCGTGACGCGAGAAGACGCGACTTGTACGAGCGTTAGCAGCAGAAGTAAGGACATGTATACATATGACAACGTCAGTGCGCTTTGTTTTCTTTCTCTTTTACAATGTCGCTAAATCTCGACACAAAGCGAGTCGACGAGTTATTTTAACGCTTGTTGATGATAATAAACGGGAGGAACTGGAGATACGCCACGACGTAGTGCGACGTGCATCATACGTGTTATCACTGTTAGCGATTTTTTTTAACTTTTGTTTTGAAGCTAGAGCGATTTGTTTAATATGCGTGCGAATTCCACAACTTCGTGAAAACAATCTATTATCTGCGATGTTTAACCTTATCCTTGCGCGAAATGTCAGTCGACGTATCGTTGATATGTTCGTATGATTTTATATATATATGTATATATCTATATATATACATGCTATCTATATAAATTTTTGGTACTTTAATTAATTTATTGCTTAAAAATTTGCATAAATAGCTTCAATCTATCAATTATTTTTTTATTAAATAAAAATTAGTAGTTTTACATTGTCTTACATACATACACACATATACACATATGCATATATACATACATTACACATGCATACATATAAATAATTTGGCAGAAGTCTTGGCAAAACAGAATGTAAACATTATATTTATGTGTGTAGAAAGTTGCTGCTGCAAGTGGAAAATTACATAATTACATGTTTAGAGATGTATTTTTGCTTATAACTTATATTGTTTATATGTCAAATGTATATAGCATATATTCATACATATGAATTAAAAATCTTATATACAGTTATATTATATATATATATATAAATTGTAAATTTTTTATATACATTTATTTATAAACATTTGTGTATGTATATTTTCAGACTACATGCAATTTGATCCTACATGCTGAATAGTGTTCACCAGACTCAAATGAATACGTAATCTGTGTTGAAATACTATGAGGAATACAATGATCATTTATCTAAGATGCATTTAATAAAATCTATTCATCAGTGATTATATATTTGGCAAAGTTGGAGAGTGATGCCGGTTCATCAGATTAATGTTAATCCGCCTGACTGGCAACCACCTTTGTCAATTAGTCCTTCTAATAATACAAGTCCTGCTGGTGGAGAAGGTTTACCAGAATGGACACCACGGGTAATCTTTTATTTATCAAGAATACTTAATTATTTTAAATCTATGACAAAAAATTTGGACATAGAATGTTCTCAAAATATCCTTTCTTTGAACTATTTTTATATTTTTAACTATTTATATATTTTTTTTATCAAGTTGAAGTCTAATTTTTCTTTATTAAAATATGAAAAAAATTTATTAGATTTTAAATTATGTGACAAAGAATTGAATTTCTGAATTTTAGTAAAACAGATAAACTTATATTATTCAATTAATTTTAAATAGATTTTAGAATTCTAATTTGAACTTTAAAATAATATATATCACAAATTAGATACAAATGTATTAAAAATAAGGAAAAGTTATATAATATATTATAAGTACCATACATTATAATAAATGATAATATCCTCTATAAAAATTGATTTAACATTAGTTAAAGAATTCAACACTTTAAAGGAGATGTGATACATAATTGAAGAGGACATTTTATATATTATATGTTAAAAATAAAGGAAGAAATTTACTTTACAGGATCACTTTACAATAATTTAAATTGAAGAAGCAATATCATGAAAGATAAAAATATAAAGAACAAATAATGTTAAAATGTAATATTATATTTCATATAATCTTATATTGTTTTAATAATTAATATATAATCATGATAACAATTTTAAAATATACATATATATACATAAATATAGATAAGATAAACACAGTGTTTTCTTATTTGTGAAAGATTATTTGCTTCATTAAAAGACAATCAAGTCCCCCATTTCTTGAGCAAACAAATTGTCAAGGTTTATTCAATTACTGGACTGATATCTAATGATGAATGCTCAAGCTTTGCAAATTATTTACTCTTTTAATCTCACTGTTAATATTTATATCGAGAAAACAAATGTACTTTCTATAAAGGAACTACTGTACTTTAATAATTAATTATTTTGCTGTTGATTCATAGAAATATACTTATTTTAGGAATCGAGTTATGCCACAGTCGTTACTATTATACCAGACCATTGTCACTCGTCTGTAAGCACATTATCCTCAACCAACCATGATATTTGCAGGTAAATTGAATGTATTAATAATTAATTATAATATGTATATATCGACTACATATATGTAATAATATTTACAATAATAAAAATATATTTTCAACTTTTATTTTATTATAAAAAAGTTTTAAATTTTTTTAACAGGATCTGCCATTGTGAAGGCGAAGAAGGTGCTCCTTTATTAGCACCTTGCTACTGCAGTGGCAGTTTGCGTTATGTGCATCAAGCTTGTCTTCAACAATGGATTAAGGCTTCGGATACGCGCGCTTGTGAATTATGCAAATTCACATTTATTATGCATGCCAAAACAAAACCATTTTGTGAGGTAAGTAAACTCGTTTGACGAAGAAAAACAAATCATGAAGGAAAAATGCCGTAATCATATTTCCAGTTATATTAAATATATAAGAATAATGTATATTTTTAGTGGGAGAAACTCGAAATGTCCGCGTTAGAAGTGCGAAAATTATGGTGCGCAGTGGCTTTTCATGCTGTAGCTGCTCTTTGCGTAGCATGGTCATTGTATGTACTCGTCGAACGATCTGTGGAGGAAGCTCGTCGTGGATTCGTCGACTGGTCTTTCTGGACTAAATTAATAGTCGTCGTAATCGGTTCTACCGGTGGTTTGGTCTTCATGTATATTCAATGCAAAGCATATATTACATTATGCAAAAAGTGGCGAGCGTTTAATAGGTATGTATTATTATTTTCAGTGTTTTCTTTATTTAAATCAATAAATATATAACTTGTACACTTTGAATTGAGATTATGTGAAAATTTCTACGTTTCCAGAGTGATATTTATTCAAAATGCTCCCGAAAAAGTGGTGCTTCCTCCGTCACCCACAGACTCTTTGAGAGAGGTCACCTTGCCCCTGAAGGACCCAACTGCCTCGATGGCCGAACTCAACCGCACTCTGTTACCCCGTACCATAGATCCTCCATGTGCCTCGCAGATGTCGAAGGCCGACTCTGCCGCACCACAGAGGCACGACGCTCAATTGAAACTTTATGTATTCGACAAATTGTCCTCATCCGAGGATAATCTATAATACCTAAACTTCGAAGATGGAAATCATCGTACGTAAAATCGCGCGTTAAAGGTGATTACACATTTTCAGTTCGAAGGAAAAATGGAAAAAAAAGAAAGCGCGTTCTCGCGGACAAAACTGGAATAATTTTAGGCTACACGATTTCGGAGCGGAATCACCCTTTTCGAAATCGTCGAATATCCGCCCTCGTGCAGCACCTTTCTTTTCCCGAAACTTAGTACTTCAGTGCTTACAGTGTTGACAGTGGGATAGAGATGAAAGTGTACAGCTCTCGGATGCTGGTGCTTTCTTATGTACATAATTATTGTATCTGTGATGTTATTAAATAAACTTTACCATATTTAAACAATATATTTCCGACGCTTGTATTTCATTATCGGAAAAAAAAAAAAATCAGCGTTGTAACTATACATATACACACGTTTTTCTTTGTATGGTAAAGTTTCTGAGATTTCCGATACAATTCGTTTAGTCATTAAAGAATAAATTATACACGTTGAAACTAGTTTTTACATAATATTTTATTTCAATTCTAGACGATGAGGCAACGTGCGCGCGACACAATTTTGATTCGCGCGCACGTCGCGAGTCGATACTAGCGCCACTAGATCGAGTCGCGGCGGCGAAGCAGCGCCATCTCGGTAACTCGGCACTGCCGTATCGATTGGTTGATCAGTGTCGCGCGTGTAGCCGTAACGTTCGGTTCCGGTAACGTCAATGCGGCAGAGAGAGTCTGCATGCGAGGTGGAGAACCAGAGCGCGATAGACTGTGCGAGTCATAGGTGGACGTGAGCGGGTGTAAAGAGAGGCGGTTCTTCGTATCGTACGACGGGAATTCCCGCGAACTCGGAGGCGGCGATCAGCGGAAATCCCGAGGTGCCCGCCGGCTTCCGCTCGGCTCGTGTCGCCGCAAAACACGCTGCCATGTAGCGGCCGGGTTGTGTATGTATAAATGAAGCGGCGTATACCGCGCTCGCGTGCCGTGGGGAGGAGGGTATCGTCGGGGGCGATGGGAATGGCGCGCAAATGCTGCGTGCGTAGCTGCGAGGCGGACGTGCGGGAGGCGCGCGCCAAAGGACTGCCGCTGCACAAGTTTCCCAAGGACGTCGCGCTTAGGGACAGGTGGTTGACCAGCGGCGGATTCGACGAGAGTTTCAAGCCGACGCCGGGCCAGGTCGTCTGCCATAGGCATTTCAAACGCGCCGACTACGACCACGCCGCGCGGGGCGGTCACAAGTTCCTGCTCAAGAGGGGCAGCGTGCCCTCGGTCTTCGAGGACTATGACAATCATCCCGGTAAGTGTCACAGCGTCGCCTACGACCATCCGCCTCGTGCAACGAGAGCCAAGTGGACGTTGCGAGCTGTAAAACGCACAACGTAGTTGCTTCCGCGCATCCTCCCGTCTCTCTCGCTCTTTCTCCTCCCCCTCCCCCTCGCCGCTTCGCTCTTTGCTCCGCCATGTATTTTATTCTCCCCCCTCTCCGTCTCCGCTTGTACCCCGCGCGGGATTCGTCGCATCGTGTTTGATGCTTATACGCGGCAGCTTCGAGTTGAGAGCCACGCCGCGAGTCACGCGCGATACCGGTAATTTACGAGAGCATTTTTTTTTCTCTTCCCAAGTGACAATGCCGTGGTTTTCTCCAAACAGTTTCTCGTTATTACACGCTCGTGTTGGTAGATACTCGCGATCGAATCGTTCGAGCGACACTCGAATGTTTTAGCTGTCTACCGATTGTTTGCTGACAAAAAATCGTACCTTACTCGCGCGGCGGCAAAACATTTTTCACCGAGTTATATAAAGTGTCTCCGAATTCTTTTAGTGACAAATTCCTTGGCCATTTGATCTTATTTTGACAAAAATGTTTTTTTTTTTTTTTTTAAGGATTAAATTGTGTTTCAATATTTCATATAATTACTGGTAGATTGAATTAACATTGATTTTTTTGTTTGCAGACCCAGTGATTATGTCAGTGAAATCTTCTACATCTTATGCACAAGAAGATTTGGATCTGATTAATTCAGAAATATTAAATTTGGAACATTCTGCCTCGCCATTATTGTCAGAAGCAAGGACCCCTAAATATGATAGTTGTGGTGAAACGTGTTACTCCAGACCTGAATCGTCCGCGGACTCTTTAAATCTCCCTGATAATTCGGAAGTGGATAATGAATGCAAAATGACAAGTTTGAAGGAAGAAATTGTGACACCAGTGAAAGACAAGTTGATTGAAAATTCGGATAGTAAAGTAAATACAGTAGCGATGCAGCTTGGTATCGTTGAGCCAGGAGTAACAATGAAGGCTGATGCTAAAGATCTAATAATAAAGGAAGAATTAAAAAACATTAAATTATGTAGTGACAAGGAGTTTGACAAATCAGAAGAATTAAAACCAAAGTTAAACCGCGATGGCACAAAGTTTTATCCTGGTGCTAAATTGGAAGCAAAAGACTTTAATGAAAAGTGGCAAGTATTATTGAATATAAATTCAACAAAATAATTAAATGTTAAAATAAGAATTGTGAAAGTCATTGTGCGATACGAAAATAAGTGTTGGGTGTTTAAAATGTCAATTATATATTTAAAAATCAATGAGTGATATAACTGAGGTAAAATAAATGTTTTAATTGATATTTATAGGTATTCTGCAAAAGTGGTAGAAACAGATTGGGACGAAAGAGAAGTTTTAATACATTTTGACAAATGGAGTTCGAGATTTGATGAATGGATACCGATGGATAGCTCTAGACTTCGTGTATTGCAAACCCCACCACAGTAAGTTAATGATTAAATATAATTATTAAAACATTGCATCGATAACTCACGCAGGTTATCTAATTTTTTCTATGTTCTTCAAAGACTCAGATTTCATTTTTATATCATTCTTTATCTTTCTTTAAAGTGAACAAACTTGGATCCTGCCATCTCCGTAAGTGAAAATTGTGTTATTAGTAAATAGATGAAATTTGTAGTACCTGAAATAATAGTAGTATAGTTTTATAGTTTAGTAGCATTTGTTTAACACACTGTGATTAACAAGAGTAAAATAGAGAAAATTATTTGATCCTTATATACATTAATTACATCTGCAAAGGTGATGGTATAAACATCTATTCGTCATCCCCCAAATATTTGAAATAATGGAATATGCAAATAAAAAAATTCATTTTTTATTACGTACATTGAATCTTATTTCTTCGTTATGCGAATGTATAGAATAAAAATATTGTTAGTAGTAGATTGTAGAACTTTTTTGTTGTGCAATATGATGCAATATTATTTACATATTGTCTTGCATGAATTGACAGGAAGAAATGGTACATAGTTACTTGCACTAATATACCTGCTCTTACATAAATTATATATATATATATTTTATATTATATTATTATATATTATATTAGCTTTGACAGATGAGTTACGAACCGAAGTTATTTCCGTAAAAAAAAAAAAAAAAAAAAAGAATTACGACGAATCGCACATTTTTCTCATTGCTTTCTCATTTCGAATATTATTTATTGTGTATTCAATTCAATGCGTGTAATTCGAGGATTTCGCGTCCGCAGGGAGGCAAAGCGAGAGTTTTCAGTGGGCGAAAGGGTACTAGCTACGTGGGCGGACGGTAGAAAATATCCGGCCAAAGTGAATGCAGTCTTGACGAACGGTAAGTGACTAACCTAACCTCGTAAGAGGGAAAGGGACTGCGTCCCCGTAGATTACCGTTTGACGTTTGGGGGGCTATATATGTGATCTTTTTTACTCGACGAAAATTGTGTTCCTCGGCGTGCGGTCCTAAGTGAATTTTTTTTCTCCGCAGACAGGTATGATGTATTGTTTGATGATGGATATGCGAAAGTCGTCAAGTCGTCGAAAATGACCAAGATCGCCGAAACTCCGACCAAGGTACGAATCGTCAGATTGAGGTTATGTTGTTGTTTCTTGGTGACTGTTACGGATCGCGTAAATGTCGAAGGAATTTTGCCCGAGTCAGTGAAATCGAACGATATCTTTATTTTGACATTTAACATTTATCGTGATTGCTCTCTTATAGATGTATCGCGGATCTTGCAATTTCGATAACTTTTTTTTTTTATATAAGTTTTAATTATTCTCATTCAATATAAGTCGTGATTGTATAAAAAAAATGTAATGAAATCTAAAGCAAGAACTAGATTTCTTAAATTTGAACATGTATATAACAAACAATATGCAGTATGTTAAATTTCTATCGTAAAAAAATGATTTTTTTATTTTACTTAAATAGCAGTTGAGTGAATTGGAAGGATATATAGGCAGCAAACAGGAAAGAAGGGATAAAAAACGGAAACATACAGTTATGGAGTTGTTTAACACTCACTCGAGAAAACGTACAAAAATGATGCTGACAAAGCAGTAAAACGAGAGGAGACTGTTGTCAAGGAAAGTGTGGAAAGTTCTGTAGAAAATAAGGTCGAATTAGATGGTACCTTATTTGGTGCCTGTTACGACCCAGGTACAGATTTATTAAGAGGCTTTGAAAGTACTCCCTCAAAAATTAAATCGTATTCGAAGAAAAGTAAGAAGGAATTGCCTAAAAATGACACGGATCACGAAGAAGAGGTTGGTCCTGAATGGATTGATGGAGAGCCGCAAGGAACAGAATCTTATATTGTAGATGGCAATGATGGTGAGTTACAATGCAAGTTTTATTTCTCAACAAGATACATTTTTTTATTTCTAATCATAAACATATTGCAATGCTCTAATGTATAATGTGAATATTTATATTTCAGGACCACGTCGCACTATAATAGTGCCAGATAGAAGATTACCTCCTGGTTGGGAAAAACATTTTACACAGAGAAGAAGTGGCACATCTGCTGGAAAATGGGATGTTATATTCATACAGTAAGTTAAAAAATATAATTATTTTATTTTGCCATCATTAAATAATACAATTTGTGCATAATTACATTCTTGTTTTAAAGTAAGCAGACTGGGAAGAAGTTCAGATCCAGAAATGACATCAGAGTATTCATGGAGAATCAAGGGCAATATGATTTTAATCCTGAAAATTTTGATTTCTGCATACATCGTAGAAAACGAAATCATGCACAAAATCGTTTGAAACAAGAAACTGCACCAGAAAAGAAGATTAAAACTTTATTGCCTAAAACGAAAACATTGTCGACACCTGAGAATACATTGCCAGTGACAAATATCACTACATCACCTAACATTTCAACACCTGTCACACCTGCTACGGATGGTGGTAAGATTTCTACAATATATTACATTTTAATTTGTATCGCACTTTTTAATCTTTGCAATATCTGTCTTTTACAATCTACTCTAATTCATCAGAGATGATTTATTGTAAGTATTATATTTGTACAGATATTTTTACAGAATGAAGTAAATTGATAATTAGTTTCTTTATAATAATAATTTTTTATAATTATAATAAGAGAAATAAATGTATGCTATGTGAATAATGTTTTATAATGCTTTTTTTAATGTAATTTATTTATTACTATTCTGAAATAGCCGTTTTCATTGGACTTCGTGGTGGACTTCGTGTGGAAATGGAGGACAGCGCCTATAAATGTCCCAAGGAAGGATGCAATAAAAACTTTCGAAAAGAAAATTTGCTGCAAATGCACATCAAGCATTATCATCCTGAATATTCCAAATTTCTGGGCTCTACTCCAAAAGTTGAAGATTTGGCTTATGCAAGAACGATTGGAGAATCCATAGATGATATTATTCCCAAGAAATCGACGACATTCTTAGACAAAATAAACAAATTTGTTAAGAAAAAATCTGTCTCGGAAAAATCATCAACATTGAACACTGTGTCACCATTGTCTCCTTCAGTACCTGGCACAATTATGCCAGAATTAGAAGAGGAAATGGATCAAATGGACAAGTGCAATGATTTGCAGAAGGAAGATATGAAAATTGAAACAATGTCTTCAATATCTAATCATAGTATGGAAATAGATGACGATATAGAGAAGAAAAGAGAACATACTTGTGCATTGTCTCCTGGTACATTATTTGACATGAAAGTTAAAGAAGAAAAGGCACAAGGTGGAATTAAAACATTATTACCTGTGAGGCCATCCACAACATCAGAGGTGCAAAAAAGTGATAGAACAAAATCTTTAGATGAAATGACGCACGTTGAACGTACGAAGAACCAAAAGAAGAGACAACTCTCCGAACACAATGTAGATGTACTGACTAAAGGAAAGAAACGACATGGTAAAATGCTTTCACATTTTATTATTTACTTTTTGATCACAAGTTTTAAAATTTTATTAAATTATGAATAAAAATAAATTAATATTTAACATTTGATATTTTGTATGTTACATAGGTACATCGGATCTTACTGACAGTTTTGGTGATCTAGATGACAGTGCTATGGATGCTGAAGGACCTGCTGCACTTATGTACAGATATAGCCGTAGAAAATCCGATTCAAAGAGTGATGAAAACAGTCAGAACAGTAAGTGCAAGTGTTTTGTCTGCGCCCCTTATAATGCAATGCTATGCATTTATGCAAAATGCAGTTATTTTAATTTTTCCCAGATGTGCTTTTTTTTCTAATTTAATATACAAATAGGATATGCGGGTTTTTTGTTAAACATATGTTTGATAATATTTACACTATGGAATTATTTCTGTTGTTTCTTAGGTCAACTAAATGATTCTCGTATTGAAAAAGGCGATCCCTTAAAAGGGGATATAATCAAAACAGATATTAATAATGATACAGAAGGTACATTGTTTATTTTTTTTATCTTTTATTGTCTTTGCTTTTTAATTTCAGATATCGCCGATTTTATTTTCTTTTGTTTTTTTATTGCATTTTATTTTATGAGAACTTTATACACAGTTAGCATACATATATCTCAACATATATGTTTCTTCATTATGAATATTTTGTATAAATTTTTTATACGAGCACATGTGATTTATTATCATATAGAGAGCGAAGGTGTGATGATGATGATCAATGGCGAAATGATAAAGGTGGAACAACTTCGAAGAGAAGAAATAATAAATTGTACATGTGGATTTATGGAAGAAGATGGTCTAATGATACAGTGCGATCTTTGTCTCTGCTGGCAACACGGTCACTGCAATGCGATTGAAAGGGAAAAGGATGTTCCTGAAAAATACATATGTTATATATGTCAACATCCGTATCGGCAACGGCCATCTAAGAAATACTTTCACGATCAGGATTGGATTAAGGAAGGAAAATTGCCAAGGTAATTTTTATATTATTCATATGACATATTATTTTATATATAATATAATTTTATTTGTATATTGATTTTCGAATTTTTTAGTTTGCCTAATCGAACTCGAAATCAGAATATAATCAATCAGAGGACTGCAATGTTGAAGCGTTCTTATGACTTAGTTGCTGCACTTTTACAAATACAACAACTTCTTCATAGCTTGCGCGTAAAAATTAATGTGGCGCAGTAAGTAGTATGTCTGCTTGTTTGACATTTACTATGTGTGTTATAGCAAGTAACCTGTTTAAATTTTTATATAGAAAAAAAGATCATCCCAAATTATATCTTTGGGCCAAGAATTGGGAAAAAATGGAAATACCAAAAATAGATATAGAACCAATACCAGTAATGGAAATAGTGAAGGCAGGATCAAGTTTTACCGATGTGAGTTCGGAGATTCCACGACGTGCTGAGACGAAAACGGATGTTAAATTATCTATAAAGGATGATCAAGATGAAAAATCAATCGCTTCGGATTCGGAATTAATGAAAATTTTGGAAGAAGATAGCACACATTCTGATGAATCTCGAATTATCAATAAAAGGGAAGGCTTCATGAATTCGAAAGATAGTCACATACTTTTGGAAGCATTAACGAACTCGGAAGACATAAAGGAAAGAAACATCGCTATGCCAGATATTAAAACGGAAAACACAGGTACAGTAATGTAGTAAAATAAAAAAAAATAAAGAATAAAATGTTTTTTAATAATTTCTTTCGACGATATATAGACGATTTACTAGCTGATAAAACTATGAATGATAATTCTGGGAGTCTTTCTCTCAACTCGGGGCCGCTTATGGATAACATTCGACAAGAATCGAGTATAGTCGACGTTAAAAATGAAGTCTCCGCTCTTCTGCAACCTTTTATACCGGAGCCAGAAGCACCGATTGATCCAACCGAATGCCGAATGAGATTGTTGGAGCATATAGAACATTTTCAATGCCATCTTGATTCGAGATTAACATCTATAGAAACGCAAATTTGTGGTAATAAGAATAAGATACTTAAAAAAAATGTATTACAAAATATTTAACCAAAACGTTAATTATATTAATTTAATGCATAGCTCTAGAAGCAATGGATCCAGATGAACTTGCATTAGATCCACACGTTCAGCCTCGTACTAAACAAACTGTACAGATGCTCCTTCGTGACTTGAGCACAGTCCGGAAGCTGGCAGCATTATGTTGAATACTACGTCAGATCTTTATAGAAACTTATGATACACACACACACACACACACACATATATATATATATATATATATATATATATAAAATATGTATATGTATGTATGTAGATAGAAAGAATAGTCAATATCTATATAAGCAGTATCTCATATATTTATGCTATCAAAAATTAAGGTAATAATTTGTTGCTATTGTTATAAAGTAAAATTTATCTTTTAAATTTTAAGATGAGGTAAGCTAATTAACTTGCTGAAAGTAGTAATTAGAATTGTAATATAATTAAAGTTGTTATTGTTATATGAAAAGCAGAAAAGGTATTTTTTAAAGTCAATGTATTTATACATATATATCCTAATGATAATATAGCTTAATTTATTTTAATATTTGTAGCATACATGAATGGTATATAAAAAATAGTGTATATATAAATATTTTTTTTTTATCAAATATATATATATGAATAATTTAAATATCTGACCAAGGAAGTTTATAAGTTTCGCTTTTTTTTTTTTTTTTTTTTTTATATATATATATCAAAACATCTATTTATATATTATACAATTTTGTATTTGTGTGTGCTAATTAATCAATTAATAACGAATAGATGTCGCGACGATAGGCATCGCTTTGCCGACCAACACTACCAAGAATCTGCGTATGTATTGCATATGCACATAAATATAAAGGACAGTACGTATGTATATATATAAGTTCGAAGCAACGCGGATTCTTGGGTGTGTGATTTTCGGCCGCCATGTTGGTTTAGCCCAATGACTGACGTCAGCGGCCGCTTAGCGGTGTGCAATCGCACGAACAACAAAGACGGATAGACAGAGACGGAGGTAGGTCCGAGGTTGAGTGCGCAAGCCTGAGGAGGAAGGAGAGGCGTGCGCGACCCGTGGCGGTGCACAGCGGTGCACAACGGTGCAGTCGTCGACGGATGTAAGGGGACGTTGTGTGTGGGCTCGACTCGACTCGGCTCGTCTCGTCTCGTCTCGGCTCCGATTCTCTCCTCTCGCATCCGTTATGACGATATAGTGATCCAGTCGTGCTAGGCGCTCTCTGCGTCTCGGGCTCGGTCGTCGTCGTCGTCGTCTCCGGCGCATAAAGAGAGAGAGAAAGAGGAACAGAGAGAGAGAGAGTACGCGTTGTATCGAACTTGGCGCACCCTTCGTGCACCGAAAAAAAAGCCGAGAAAGGAAAACGAAACGCGAGATGGAGGCGCGACGCCGCACGGTTTGACGGTTCCCGAACGGAGTCCGGACCACTTCCTAGGTGTGTTCGCGCGCGCCATGTGCCGTGCCGTCACCATTCCGCGTGTGTCTCCTCCCTGCGGATCGTAGTTCGAGAAGAGTGTCGCGACAGAGTCGGTCGGGTCTATCCTTAGCCGAGTGCTTCGCCTCGGCGAGTGTTGAGTTGTTGGTGCGCGAGTGAAATTCGACTCTCTTGTATTTTTCTTCGGCTCGCTAGCCGAGAAGAGAGAGCGAGAGAGAGAGGAAGAGGCAAGGAACGACAGATTCCGCTCGTCCAATATCGGCGAGCCTCAAGAAGCGAAAGAGATAACGCGAGGGAGTGCGAGTGGCGTATATCAAGATGGCGCATAATTTGGCACCGAGCGTCAACTGCTCGCTCGACGACATTGACCTGAACGCTCTGAAGGTTCGTAAATACTGGGATTACGTTTGACGTTTTGCACGAAGCGAGGACGAGCGAACCGCGTGCATCGCGTTGACCCGGCGACTCCGGTCCACCTGAACCCGTCCGTGACTCCCTTCCCCTCCTATTTCTGGACCCGCCTGGTGTCACGCGCGTCTTATTATACGTGGTGATTAACCTCGCGAGAGAGAACCGACGAGGATGACGTTCTCCTTCAATTTTTTTTCTCTTTCTTTCTCTCGCGACGTTAATGTCGGAAAAATTCGAACGATTGTTTGTCTTGGATGCAATCGTGCATGTCATTATTGACAGTGTTGCAAGAGTTGATACAATTGCATTAATTTCGATATTCTTTGCAAATGATGTTGACTTTTTCGCATGTAATTGTTATGTGAATTATAAGAATTCTTATAAGAAGATTGAAATTTCGCCTGTCAATTTTTTCGAAATGTTATGACATGACAATGATGTGTCGTGACAATTTGACACATTATTTTGCGAAAGAAGATTCGAATTAAGTTTCTCGTTTTTTCTTTGTTTTAAAAAGTATGAGTGATTCATCTTCCTCGTTTTGAGCTTGACATCGATTTTAGTAAATTTACAAACAGAAAACTTGATTAAGAAATAAATATTTTATTTATTTTATCGCATTAAATTTTGTATCTAAAGAGAAAATTTCTTACGCAAAGCGTCTATTTTTATTCGATAGAGAATAGATTAAATCATCACGATACATTGAATCGAAGATAAGCAGCATAATCGATAAAATTTGAAAACTTCTTCAAATATTATCTCTACTATCGATTATGCATTGGACGATTTTAATCTTCAAGATGTAATATCAGTTCGTGGGATTGTTACTCAAGTATTTAAAAATACTTTTCTTAATTTTAAGAAAGAATTATATTGTAGAAAATATTCTTCACTTTTCAATATTTTTTTTTTTTTTTTTTTATTTATATTTATTTTTATTAATTATATTTTTCTCGAGAGAATTTTATTTAAGAACTACTCAATCAACTTATTTTATTTCGCAATTTTTTAATGCAAGCGATAATCGAAAAAAATGAACGCGATGTTATTTTTCGCCAAAAAATAATTTATGACTTAGTGTGTAGAATATGTTCCGAATATTAATTAACCACTTGTGTTTCAGGAGCCTGCTGGAATCTTCGAGCTAATAGAAGTGGTCGGCAATGGGACATACGGCCAAGTTTACAAAGTGAGTAACCTGAAAATTATTTGTCTCGTCACGCTACTCGAAAAGTATAATATTCTTATTATGTATTACGTAATATTTATAGCGGGGAATAATTTGATATATTATTTCTTTCGTATTATCATAACTGTCCCGACATTTGATTGTATTCGTATGTTTTTCCATTCTATTATATATCTGCGGTTCGCCAATTATCGATTTCACGGTGGCGTGACGACCTTTTCTGTGATATTTTAAATTAACGAGTAGGCGTCAAAATTATGGGACGTAAAGAAGAAAATGCTAATAATGCGTAAATAATATCTCCGTGAAAAAGAGACGATGCAACGTCGAAAATTTTTGTGCATATATCCTAAATATTATTCCCGATAAGCAGTCTTAAAATTCGTTGAAATAATTTCTCTCTCACATCTTGAATCTCTCTCTTCGATAAATTAATATGCTTCATTTAGTTCACAATGACAATGATTTCGAAAATAAACAACGTTAATTACCGCATTGAGAATATTAATAAAAAGTGTTACAATACTAATTTTAAGAAAATTATCCATGTAAAATTTTATTCTGGAATTTCAGAAAAAGATGCGAAAATAAACAAAATTAGTAGATTAGCGATTATATTAATATATTAATATAATCTCCAGTAATGAGTGAATGAAAACTGAACAATCTCATTCCAAAAGAGTGGAATTTTACTCCAAGAATGGAATCTCACTTTTTGGAGTAAAATTTCATTTTTTTGGAATGAGATTGTTCGGTTTTCACTCCAAGAAATTAATGATATCGAAAATGTTTAGATAATTGATAACATTTAAAATACCAATATTTATTTTACCGTTTAAATATATATTTTATAATATGTATATAACAAATTCCACATTTCATATACCTAAGGATCGCGCATATAAATATATAATATATATATATATATATATATATATATAGTTATCGTACTTGTTTGAGTAATCCATATAACTCTTATCTGTCAGGACCTACGCTACACCACACTTCTGTTTTCCGTTTTTAAGTACGTTATCGCGAGTTTCGTATATCCGTCCTGTAGAAATCTATACCACATTACGCGCGTGGGAAACTTTCATGTTTAAGGTGATACGTAGCGTGGCATTGCGTTGCGTTCTCGCGATAAATATATACTCGTGTTCCTTTTTACACCTCTCGGCATTAAAGGCTCCTTGCGCTAAAAAGACGCTATGCGATAAACGTTTTCTTGACGCTGCAAAAAAAGGGGGATAATAATTGACCCGCGATATTAAATCGGCGTAGCTCTCAGGAGCAGCGTCGTGAATCACATAGCAGAAATGCTTAGAAGAAATAAAAATTGCCTTTCTCCGTTCTTATATACATATATTATATATATATATATATATATATATATATATATATATATATATATATATAAAACACACAAGTTGTCTTTCGCGACACGAAGTTTCTGCACTTGTCATTCCAGTTTCATATCTTACGGAAATATTCAGACGCACAAATTGATATTATTGCCTCGTTCCTTTATGATATAGACGTGCCATTTCGAAATTTCTTACTTCGTATCATGCACGTGCATATTGCAAAATAATTTTAACGATTTAAAAAGTTACAATGAAAATTGCATGTTTATACAAGAATTATGTGCGATAGAAAATGTATTCTTTTCGATGGAATATATAAAGATATGGAGAGGTCGGTTTGTATCTAGAATAAAATTTTAAAAATTTTGTACGAAAGGACTTTTTTTAAATATATATATATATATATTTTTTGAAGAATTTGATTAATTAAATTTATATTTTAAAAGATAAAATTACTTTGGCAGATTTAAGTGTATATTAAATTAAGTCGAGTTTTGTGTGAGAAACAGAGAAGGGGAAGAAGACTTCTTTTTTCTCACCTGTATAACAGAGAAGACCGGTGATTCACTTTGAAAAAATGCTCCTTGGTGAGGTCGTCCTTGGAAGAATATCTCGATGCGAAAAATGTCTCATAAAAAAAGACACAGCGTGTGACGGAGAAAGAGAAAGGTGGAGAATCCCCGACCGGAAGGACGCAAGAATCATATATAATTTGCATTGTTAACATGTCTAGGAAAGAATGAGGTTTTATTTTGAATAGAAGTTGACAGTCATTTCAACGAAAACGATAAACTGGTATAAATTTATTGCTATAAACAGAATATATTACTACACAAATGTATGTACGAGATATAGATGCATACAATTAATAATGCAATCTATTATGAAAATTAGCAAAATGCGCTTTCTCATGTGTAATGTGTCATAATGCATTGTATTTATATATATGGATTATATTTCTGATTGTGAGTTATAGATTGAGTCGCAATGACGAATTTTCAGGCCTATATTGATAATTAATTTAGATACGCGGATAATTCGGATATAATAATTTTCATTTGTACCTATTTACATCGAAGAGAGACGATAAATAGTACATATATATAGTAAGGGAGAAAGAAAATATTACCGGAGGCAACACAGCACATTCGCATACATATATTCCCTCTCCCGCGAGAGCGACATCAAAATGAAAGTTGTTCTGGCACAATTAATTAATTCACGTTATCCGCACCCAGACGATGCGGCTGAATTTATCGCGCTCGTTCGTGCTGGCTGTATACTTACGATGAATCACAGTATAGGGGGGAAATTCATGCTTATCTAAACCACCTAAAAACAAAAAAAAAATAAAACATTTGCGCGAGAATTTTATTCGCAAAATGCGCCTTCATCGGTCGCGCGAGATGCGTCTCCTATTATTCGCACGTCTCCACCTTGTAGCACTTGTGCTCTTTAAACGCTTTACTTTCGGGCTACGCGGAGATAGAGAGAGAACGAGAGGGAAGCGGAGGACGAGGACGATGACCCGTTGCCGATGACGGCACAAAATGAGCCGAACACGCACGCGTGTGCGTGAAAACTTGAGTGCGACGACGAGTACGCGCGCGCTCGCTCGCGCTATCTCTTGCGCGAATCATCCTGTCCCAAGATTTACGAGAATCGATGATAAGGCTCGATGCATTTCAGAAGAATCTGATTCAACGTTGATTAATTAATCTCTCCTTTTGTTGGCCTCTTTTGGTGTCATAGCTTTCAGATTAAATCTAGGTGAATCATACACTCGGACTTTTTGTGTCATGCCGAGAACCCGCAGCACAACAAGTCGATTTGGTCAAATGGACCGCAAATAGAGAGATTTTTTTTTATGCACTTTCGCTTCTCGTTAATTCTTTTGCGATATGTAATGAGGTATAGAGGTAATCTACTTCATTATTAACAGAAAGTTGAAAAAAAGTCTTTAATATGAAATATTTATTTAATTTATTTAATTGTAAGTAAAAATAGAACACACGCACACACAGAGTGGAATAAAATATTACACATTAGAATGCAGAAAAATTTATTGAGAAAGAGAGCAAATATATGTGCAAAATTGCAGAAAAATTTACAATAATTATATAAGATTGTTTGCACAATTAAATATATATAGATTAATTTTTTATATTCAATATTTGATTCCATAATTAAATTTATTGTAAATTGTGCTAATATTCTTCAAAGCAAAGGATTATTTAAAATTTCGTCTTTACGTCATAAATATGAGTGTATGTAATTCTAAGAGATTCTAAGATTTTTCAAAGCATACAAAATAATGTACTGTACAAAATAATAGATCAAATTTATTTCTGAAGGATATTAATCTTAATTCAATTTTTTTCGTGCAGATTGATATATATAACAAATACATATATTGCGTTCAATTATTGGAGCAGTATCTAACATAATGTTGAATTCCTTTAAATAACACAATAATTTTTGATAAAAAAAACGAAATTATAAATTCAATAATCTAAATACATTGCACTAATAAAATATAGCTAGTTTTGAAAATAACTACATTTTTTGTAAAATATTATAACATTTGCATTCTTCTCTTTCTTTCTCTCGCTATTTTTATATGTTTTACAAATATATATTTCATATATGAATATATTATATAAACATACCTTATTCATATAATTTATATATTTTATTCATGTTATAAATATATCACAATTAAGCATAGAAAAAAATTAAATAATCATCTTTCGCCATACATATGTATAATTTGATCGAACATGTTTTATCATATAAACATTATTTCAGAACAATTGATTCGTGCCCCTATTCAGATAGACGATTTTTTTTGTCATAAGTTGCAGTTATTTATTCGTGCTGATGCAAGAATAATCGAAACGATTTCGTCTCATTTTATTTTATCGGCATTTTAAGATAGAATTTTTGTGAAATGTCATTTATTTATAATTTGTCGATGAACTGAATGCTATGCGTTTAAGATCGTAGATAACATTTTTACCGTGCTACTATTTGTCTGTTTGTCTTTCTTATTTAAAAATGCCTACACTGAAAAAAAATTTGTTAACTTGACTAAATATCTTTCAACTAAATTATTATTTTGTTGAAAGGTTTAGCCAAGTCAACACATTTTTTTCTCAGTGTACAGTCAACAGCATTATTAGCATTAATATTACATTGTCACGTATTATATCACTGCGTAAAAAAGAAAGTTCTTGCACGTAATAGCCTATTAACAAACTCAATTTTTTTCTAGTGTAGAACAATAATAAATTTGATATTAAAATAAGAGAAGGAAACCTATATATTTAAGAAAACTGTTCTCTCTACATCGCTCATCTTTTCTCGCCTAGAATCGAAACCTTTTGGTTCCATGCGAGTCAAGTGACATTTCCACGTAGGTGGAGATTCGGAGGCAGTGCGAGGGAATGGTTTTTCGCCGAAGAGCGAAGCGAGAATGGCGAGACACAAACTGTGTGGCCGATTCCCTTTGAGAGGATAGACGGTCGAGACGCACGCATATCCATAGTCTTGCATTTGTATGCGTGCGGCTTTGTAGTTGAAAAAAGGTCGAACGCACATAAAGAGTGCGGTGAGGCTCTTTTTTCTGCCACACACACATCACTCTGCTTGCTCTATCTCTCGACAGTTAAAGAGAGAAAATGAGATGCTTATAACGATGCGGGGGATGCGTTTTGTTTCGCGCCAATTGCAGCATGTGCGTCATTCTCCTTTAATAATCCATTTCATGTTCAGCGTAGCCAGTTGCTTTATCGATAGGTTAAACGACGATAGTATTAATTATGAAAAGGATTTCAGTCGGTGAAAATTGTTGAGAAAATAACGTTATAGGAGATAAGTCCGTCATCTTGGATGCTTCTTATATGCGATAATGACAATGCGCTTTTCTGCTCCGCAGGGTCGACACACCAAGACCGGTCAGCTGGCGGCTATCAAGGTCATGGACGTCACAGAGGCGAGTATTCGGTTGCACGACTTAATTACTTTCTCACTTTGCCGGGTGTTCACGATGTTACGGCACTTGGCTTCGCTTCGCCATTGAAGAGTTGGAATTGCGGTCGCGAGATCGGTTTCTCGGAAATATACCAAGAGTTTCGCGCGAGAGTAAAATATATGACGCAGTCGTTTCCAGTGTAGAAGAATTTTGTTACGCGAGATTTGCAACTGGAAAGATTCCTTTCAATTCTGGAAAATAGGCGTAATGCCGGTCGCAACCGCAGATAGATAAGTTTTTATCAGCACGAGCAGAAAGAGAGAGACGAACATAAAGGCTACACACGATATATACGAAACGATTCTAGAAAATCATTACCGCGTATCATTCACTGCCGATATATAGAAGACAAAGACCATTTCTGTGAACGATTTGATTTATCTGACGTTCTCCAGGATCCTAGAATTAGTTATATAACCAGGCAGAAAAATGTGTATGTTTTATGTTAGTAAGACAGAAAAGTTTGGCTTATAAGTGAAATGATTAATATTTTCGATATTTAATTTGTCAATCTATTTTTCAAGTTGATATATATGTATTTCTGAATTTTTAATTATATTTAAAATATTACTGCGGAATAAAATCAGCAATTAAACATCGAATCATCTAATACTCGAATAAATTGTTCGTGAAATAGAGTGATTTTTCTTCGTATCATCATCGTTACATTTAGTTAATTACAACTGCGATACGAATCAGTTCGTAGCGAATTTATGTAATGGAATATTCCTGGAAACAGGAAGGGGAGGGGTTCCTGCGTGCTTATTATTCTATATTTATATATACATAGCAAAGAAATTAAGAGGTGTTATAATATTACTATTATTACCATATTATGCTCGTAACCGTTCTCCTTTTACATAAATTGACCGATGCTGAATCGGCATTAAGCGATATATGATTATCTTTCACTTCTCTTCATGTGTCTCTTTTCACGAGTGCCCTCTTTTCTTTTCTCTCACGTAACGCGCGAGTAAAGCCTCGACTCTACTTACCTACTTAACGAGAACGTCAGATTGCTTTTCTAGATAACTGAAAGAAATTTTCACATTCTGATTTTATCTCGTAATATGTGTGATTTATCTGTCTTTCAATGATTGTGTTCTCATAAATTTTATTCTTATCTTCTTCTGTTCTTCATTATTTTATACAAATAGCTTGAATTTGTATTATTTTTAAATAAGTACACAGATAGAACAAGTAGAACGGATTAGAGACGCAAATTTCCAACAATGACTTACTTGCAAAATTTTCTAATAATCTTCTAAATATTATACAACCATCTTTCAACAAGCTGTTTATCTTTGCAGGACGAAGAGGAGGAAATTAAATTAGAAATAAATGTACTCAAGCGGGTGAGTGTATATAAATATCGTATATAAATATCGCTGGATGATTTGATAGGATAAATTAATACAAACGAGTTTTTTTATGTTGCAGTATTCAAATCATAGAAATATAGCTACGTATTATGGTGCCTTCGTAAAGAAGTCATCACCCGGCAAGGACGATCAATTATGGCTGGTTATGGAATATTGCGGAGCTGGCTCCGTGACGGATCTTGTCAAATCAACTAAGGGTCAGAGCTTGAAGGAAGAATGGATAGCCTATATCTCGCGAGAAATATTGAGAGGACTTAGTTATCTTCATAGCAATAAAGTCATCCACAGGGACATTAAGGGGCAAAATGTTTTGTTGACTGACAACGCGGAAGTTAAACTTGGTAAAGTTTGATTTGAATGTAAATTATTAGGTTGGTGCAAAAGATTCACATCGTACAATGAAATTGGAAACGAAATATTACATAGTTTTAAAATATTATTTATAATTTTTTTCATTTAAAGAAGAAAGAAATTTAAAAAGATTAAATCGTTTATTTTATTTTTTAAGATAAAACTTGAAAAAGTGAAGCTTTTGCATAAATTTAATATCAATTACATGACATATTTTATTTTGGTGCACTAATTATCGTCGTCATCTTTTTTCAGTTGATTTTGGCGTTAGCGCACAATTGGACAGAACGATAGGTAGAAGAAACACATTTATTGGTACGCCTTACTGGATGGCACCAGAAGTTATTGCTTGCGACGAAAATCCAGACGCCACTTATGACAATAGAAGCGACCTTTGGTCACTTGGAATTACCGCTTTAGAAATGGCTGAATCACAACCTCCGCTATGCGATCTGCATCCTATGAGAGTAAGTCTTCCTCAATAATTTGAACGATTAAAACTATTTTTACATCATTTAAAAAATATTCTTTTTCATAAAATTATGTGTCACTATATGATTCGTATATTGTTCAACAGGCCTTATTTTTGATTCCTCGTAATCCACCGCCGCGACTCAAGTCAAAGAAGTGGGCCAAAAAATTTCACGGATTTATTGAAACAGTGCTAGTTAAGGATTACCATCAAAGACCTTATACGGAACAGCTTCTCAAACATCCATTTATACGGGACCAACCTACGGAAAGACAAGTCAGAATACAGCTTAAAGATCACATTGATCGCTGTAAAAAACGCAAACAGGAGAAAGGTACGAAGATTAATAGTAAAAGTTATATTTTTGAAACTTATTTAGGGAGTACAGCGCGCGTTGTCATATATCCATTACTCATTACAGAAAGAGACGACTATCGATATAGCGGTAGTGAAAACGAAGAAGATGAGCCGGCATTGGCGGGCGAACCATCGTCTATAGTTCAAGCACCTGGAGGTGACACTTTGCGCCGTAATTTCCAACAAATTCAGGAAGGCAGAACTTTGACGCAGGATGTGCCTCCTCAAGCACCCGCCGCTAAAGAAAAACCAGGAAGCAGATCTCAGAGAGAGATGCCAGAACCTGGACCGCCCGCAAGACCCGCTATACCGCACAGACTTATAGGTACATTTAATGATTTATAATAGAATTTACGTAGCATAAATGGATGGTATGTTATTCAGAAAAGATTTTAATCATATTATATGACAAAACAATTTATTTCAATCAAGCAATTTGTTGTTGAGGGACTAATTAATTAATATATTGTACAATTTTTACGATGTTTTTTCGCTTATTTTTTATTATACTACGATTGTCTATTTTTTGTCTATAATTTTATTAATTGTTCCATAATAACATACTATTAATCTTTATTTGTAAAATCTATCTTACGTTACTAATTTTGGTATAACTGAATAGTGGTACCAGATCCACAACCTCCGTCTCGTCCATTACCTCCGACACCCAGGGACGATCCTCGGCAGCCGCACAAAGTATCTACACCGCCTTCTAATCATCAGACACCTGCTGGAGGAGGTAGCGGAGGATCTGGAGGACAGCCCGCGCCTCAAAGGAACAGTGTCTTTAAACCTATGGTAAGTTTTTGTAAATTATTTGCGCCTTTTATATCCTCTGACCTAATCATTCTGTTATTATTAATCATCCAAATCAAATATCCCTTCTTTACACTTTACGAATAAGGACTATCATATAAATAGACAAAATATATAGATAACCAAATCTGTAGAAAGGCATATGCTGTCATTTCCTTTTCTTTGCAGTTTTGCCTTAAATTTATATTTATATCTCTCAATACAAGTATATACATACTTATATATTTTCTATATAAACGCATAGCTCACACTTTATATGTCCCTCTTTCTATATACTTGCGATATAATATATATTTTTATCGTATCCATTGTGCACGCGTTCTCTACTTCGCCTATTGCGTATGTCATTGGCATACACGCTGATTATATAACACATACACAAGTACACAGAAGCGCTCCCGGCACTCGAATTTGGAATGTATTTGGTTTTTATTTCTTTTCTATGTTCACACCTACCGTAGCTGCCACCGAAGAAACCAGAGGTAAGATAACACGCACACTTTATCTCTCTTTCTCTCTTACATGTATATTAACAACTCGCTTTCTTGCAGATGCTTGCGGATAATTTAATAATAACAATCAGTGCAAGAGTTAATTTATTTTTTTTATTTAGTTGGCAATACATTTTTAATTATTTTTTTATTGAATGCTGTGAAAAATCTAATATTAATTTTTTGTTTTCATAAGAGATAACATTTATTATAAAATGAGAAAAATTAAACTAATAAAAAAGAGAGATAAAATATCTAATTTTTTGAGTTTAAAAAATATTGTTGCGAAAATGTTTATTCTAATATATTACTATTTATTACTCTTTATATAGATCTTTTTTTAGAGCTAACTATTTATATAATCATGTTAAGTCTATTTCTAAAAACTAAAAATAAAAGACATTCTATAGATTTATATATATATATATATATATATATATATATATTAGATATATTACACATATAGAATATTCTGATATGCACTGATTAATTATTAAATTTGTTTATTTTATAATAACTGATGTATATCTTTTTAATATTCCTTTGCTTGAGCACTTGCATTGTCCCATGTTGGACTTTTAGATCGACCGTTTATTTTTTATCATATTGTACATATATATATTGTACATACATGTTTAGATTTACATACACAACACGTTTGTTGGTGTTTCGAGAAATAACAACGTTGATTACATTACTGCATCGTTAAAATATAAGTATGATATTTATGTTTAACTATCTAAGATTAAAGTAAAACATACAGTAACGTAAATATTGATTCTTTTATGTTTATAACAATCAATAGAGAAAGTGATCGATCAAAACTGAAGAGAATATTTGAATAATTCTCTTAGATTTGAAAATATGAAAAGATGTTACAACATAATTTGTATAATTTGAAGAAATAAATTGCAGAAAATATTTTTTAAGATATTACTTTTAGAATTTTTAAGATTAACGTGGTATCATATTTTTATAAATATTAAAAATATCTACCATCTTTTGGACGGCAAATAAGTGATGCATTGAACAAAAGTTAAATAATGTTAATTAATCCATTAAATTAAACATTGAAATTATTAACCTTATTACTTTAGCTTTGATATAACTTTGATATTCTAAGGAATTCTGTCTAATATAACATGTTTTATTAAACGTGTTGCATTTGGATTGGTCATTATATAACATTATACAGGATGATTTCTAAAATAAGAATACTTAGGAGGATATTTTACTCATTTTAAGAATAAAAAAACATAAAACTTATTTTAAAAAATATAAGTTATATAAGTAATGTTTTATTTATTTATTTATTTATTTTTAGTTTTCCTTACATTAATTTTATAAGAGGCAATTTAGCAAGTATTAACAAAAAATTTGTTGACAATCGCGTGGCATAATCAAATAAATTATCAGTTTGTTCGTAAGCGCGTTTGACAATGCATTTAAATATTTATTAATACCAGGAACTTTTTAAATGGCCTTTCTTCTTAAAGCTAATAAAACACGCTTCTCTAAAGTACAGTCACTTCTTTCAGAATTATCCTGTTAAAGTTTTATTAGAGCGGTAGTATTTCGCGCTTATGTGTATCACTTTCTGTTCCCTTCGACGTTCTCCTCGCCTTCTTCTGCCTTGTTTGGCTGTCCGATGGTGGCTTCTAGCAAAAGATTCACAAAGGTCTCGGAACAGTGACTAACGGGGTTGTGCGTGTATGCGTGTGGGTGGTAGGACATGGAGATACTGGCTGCTCAACTCATCGAGCTTGGTGTGTCACAGGGCCCCGAGGCCCCGCCAAGGCCGAACAGGCAACATAAGGGCCCTGCAGTTTCGTCTACGTCGAATTCAGTGCAACCTGCAAGTGGTAACGATCAGAACAACAAACAGATGCCGCAATCTTCCAGTATTCTTGATCAAGTAAGCGATTGGAGCCACGATTGTTGTGACCACGATTGATATTTCGGCAGCAAAAGTTTACTATGTCTGCATCCACCCTTTTCCTCTTGTTGTTACATTGTCCCTTTTCTTTTCTTTCTACTCTTTATTGCGCGAAAGACACATTAACATCGCCTTGCTTCTAGTTCGAGGTAAAAAGTGTACAAAGAATGATGCAGAGACGTTAATGTCACACGAATACGAGAAAGACGCTCTAAAAATGATATATCATTTTCTGTCGTTCTAGGCCCTGTCGATCGAGAGTGACAGTGATGACGATGAAGATGCTGGAGGAAACAACTTGAGAAATGATGGTACATTATTGGCTAGCGATCCACCTAAGCCGCTGTAAGTAAGGATTTCATAAACTAACATTCAATCAGTCATGGCAATTGTCACGAATCTTTAACTTGGATATATTTGTCAAATATTAAATATCGCTACATTAAACTTCCATTATCGTCATCTAATTGAACTAATTAAAAGCACATACATAATTAGCATATATTAATTCAACGACTCCAATGAAAAGTATTATGACTGTAATAATCTATAATATACACGAATCGTCTACAACTTTTTAGCAAATTTATTTGTATATTAATATTTTCCAAATTTATAACAGTGAAAGAATTTGAAATTATATTTAAATTAATAGCCTTATTTTTTCCGAAAAATTTTTTATTAATAGTGTTGATTTTTGTAAAAAAGAAAAAAAACATTCATAAAACACTTTCTAAAAATGCAGTTATAATACTTTTTATCTTTATCATGTAAATTACTTTTCCAATAAAAGACAAATAATAAAAAAATAATCATATAACATTACTAATTATTTAACGCTTTGATTATAATAAATAGAATAGGACGCAATTGCGGCGTGTCGTATTAATCTTACTAATGTCATTTCGTTTCATCTTCCATCATGCCTACCCCACGCTTCGACATTTCGTGTCATATGGTCGTCTTGGTCGCCTCGCCTCGCCTCGCCTCGCAACACCTCGGCAACGCACTACGTGTGCTTCATCCGTTGTCACATCGTTCCGCTGCAATATCTATTTCTACTGCTGCAGTCCTGAATTTTCTCCTTTCAGACCGTCGTCCGATTCGTCGTCGTCGTCTTCGCACAATGCCCAAAACTCCCATCACGAAGATAAGCCGAAAGGTAGTTACTTTCAAGAAGCATTACTAATGATGAAACTACGCTATCATTCAACATCATGTATTATCTAATCTTTCTAGGAGGAGCACCGAATCGTCCGCTCCCGCCAACCCCCGATGAAGAAGAATCGGGCGATCGTACGCTAGTCATGAAACGAGTAAGTACTTTTCCTCTCAAGATTGAACGATGCAAGTTAAATACTATCATATTTATATATTTTTTTATGTATCTTTTATTCGGATATACATTTCGTTTCGACATATCGTTGAAATTTACGTATAACGTTGTTATGTAACTTGTACAATACTTGTGTATAATCACAGTTTTAGTAGTTCGCGCAAAGCAGTCGTTTGTATTTCCTTTCCCATTTATTATTCGATGTTTGTAAATGTCATAATTATATCCAGGCTTAAATGGCATTAGTTGTTCGTTCCAAAAGTCTTACGCGAGAGTAGAAGATTAGATTTGAGGACAGAAGGAAAGGAAACACGCGATTGTGATGCATATCTGTCTTTTTTTTTTTTTTTTTTCTTTTTTTTTTTTTGCAAATATGTACGTGCGTTAACGTGAGAGATAATCGGGACTAATTCAGTGGTATTGTCCGCTCCCTTTATTGTTTCGCTCCACGTACTCATCAGGACTGGACTTTATATATTACAAGCGAGCACTGTATACGGTGCATCTACCGTGCACTGCCTTGTGTCTGTACTTTTGCCGCTGTCGTACGATACACAATGCACATTTATAACATATACAGACGATGAACACATACGTTGCTAGACAGACTATATATTGTTTTCGGTAGTGAAAGTGCAATGGAAAAACGTATCGTATCGTCATTATTATTTTTTTTTCAATCTTTTGTCGTATGCATAATTTTGTCTATTTTTAATCTTGGAACTCTTTCACATTTCGTACATTTTTCTTCCATGCAGCTTACTATTCATACATGACTCATTCACTACCGTGGCAAAGATAGTCGGTTTTTTATGACATTATATCATTACATTTCATCACCATTCATTGACAGTCATCGTTTCACGATGTTATCGCACGCATTTTTTTTCTGTTTTTTTTCTCTGTCACCGTACCATTATCTTCGCCATCGTACGCGCACTCTAGAAACTTAGTCAGATGTCAGACGATCGTGCAACGGCTAGCGGCAATCGGCGTTCAGAGATAGACGAACAGCTCCTCCTGAAGGAGTGGGATTTCACCCGCTTCTTTCAGGGTTTTAACGACAAGTTGGATAAAATGAAACAGGAGCATCATCAAGAAGCGGCCGGTCAAGCGAGCAAGAAATCCTCCGGATCCAATGAGGAACGTTCCTCTTCGTCTAGTGAAAGGACGCTCAAGAGACAAGAGCAGTTGGCCCGAAGAAAACACGAGCAACATCACCAAAAGCAACAACATCAATTGAAACCGGTTCACAGGCGACAAGAGAGCGACTCGAAACTGGGCAACGCGTCGAACGCCTTCACTCGCGCATTTCGCCGCGAGAACTCGGATTTTTTCCCATCCGCGAGACACTCGGCGTACTTGCAGAAGTCGGACTCGTCGCAGAGATCGAGTATATTCGCCAGCGGTAATCGGCGCGGAAGTGAGATGAGCGTCGCCGGTATTATCGGTAAGAAGAGCAGCGGCGGGGGCCTTAACTCTGGAGAGCCGATCCTAACAGATTTCTCGTTGAACCGCGAGGGGCCCCAGAGGCCCAGGAGAGAAAAGACCGAGAGCGAGATCGTCTTCGGTAATAGACACGAGGCGAGAAGGTTCGATTTCGGACGCGATAAAGACGAGAACGCAAGAAGACGCAGTTGTAGACCCTTGGATGCTACGGCCTCTGCCGTAGTCGACGAGGGAACGATTAAGTCCACGGCCAGTACGACGGCCAGCGAGTACAGCCCCATTGTCACCCAGGTCAGTCCCCTAAGCGAGTCCTGCGAGCCCCCCCGAATCTCGCGAAGTAACTTCGCGAGCCCCTCCTGCCTGTGTGCTTGCCTGAGAAACCCTTCTTAACCCTGTCGAGATTTTTCTGTCTGTTATTTTCCCTCATCCATCTCCAGAATGTATCTTCGAAGTGTCTATCGAGATATTGTCATTTTTTTTATATTCAAGATTGACAAATGTCAAGATTAAATTTAATTAACGAAATTAGCTATGTTCGTGGACACTTTGATTCTTTACACTATTTTTTCCCGAGACCATCGTGACTGATTTTTCGACATCCAGCGACGTAACCAATCACATAGAAAGCTAGTAAATCAGCTACGCTCGACTTTTAGACGCATTTCTTTTTTCTACATCACCATTCAGTTTCACGATTTATCACGGATGAATAGCAGCGATACACTATTAATTACTAGTGCTGTCAGTAATCATATTAGCAGTATTAATACAACGTCTCATAATTCGATTAGATTTTTCATCATTTTCACTGAAAAGCGATATCGGAAGATCTTTGAAGCGGAACGTTAGATTATCGTTACTACGTTATGCCATCTCTATTACTAATACCATTATACTACTAGTATTACTACTCCTATTATATCTACTTCAATAACACTCCATTATTACTGTTACTGCTATTACTACCACTACTTAGTGTTCTACTATTAGTTCCTATTGTTACACTTAAGGATAAGGGGGAAGATTCTCGCTCTGGGAGAGGTGCTGCTGATATAACAATCTTCTTTACATATTTCTCTGCTCTTTATGAACGAGGAGGCTTTTTGCAAATGTGTCGTATTTGCCGAGTAGCGTTAATGCGCGTTTCATTTTGGGTTCATATTAATCACAAGACAATGTTTCGCCTAATGTAAAACGTCTAATGCTTCATTTGAAATGAAATATGGTTGTGGGTTTTTTTTCATGAGATTATTAACGTACGACAAATCGAGAAAAGAGAGATGTCGAATTATTAATTGCTACTCCGTAAATCAGAATTTCCTCCGTCTTCCATCTTCATCGCTGTGTATCCTTGTTCCCGGCAAATGAGCCTCGTCCTCTACTATTTGAGTTATGCGTACTATGCTATGCAGAAAAACGACAAACATCTACGCCGACGAAATCTGGGACTGAACTGAAGATTAACCGCATGGAATTTCTTCGGGATACAACGTCTCATTACCATCAACGCAACGACACGTCGCGGGACTCAGAAAAAAAAGAACTCATTAAGATTCGTGGTGAATCACGAATTTCCCCCGATTACTTTGACATATTTTCAATATATGTCTTCGCGGATTTATTTCTAATCGTTACTAATAAATCTATGAAAATATCGGAAATGAAGTTTTTTCAAAAAAATAATTATCGATAAAATTTTTCTCATAGCAATTATTTCCTTTTTATTTTCTTTCTATTATACATTAATATATGAGTTATTAAAATACTATCTAAAATACTAAACCGACTAACATTATAATAGTCGTCATGTTCTTTTAGATTAGTTTATCAGAAATTTTAGTAATCGAACTAAATCTTTGCATCCCAAGAATAAGAAAAAAAGTGGAAAGAAAAGAAGTAAAATAGAGGATTTGAAAGATAAAAATAGAGATCGGAAAAACGCGAAAACAATACTAATAATATTCAACAATCGATCTGGCGTGTAAATATTTTCTGAGTGTGTGTTTGACATTAACGCAATTTCTAACATTATCTGCATGGTTCTGACCAAAAAAGAGAGACAAACAAAGAAAGAGGCAACGAGACTATTCTTAAACAAAGATTGAATATTGGGAGAAGAGGAAGACGACGTTAAGGCAGAGAGAAAGAGAGAGAGAAAACGATCTCAGAGAAACTCGAGCGATCGAGATTGAAATATAGAGTGACGATGGATCATTTTGTAAACGTCGTACGAGGCCATGACTGTTATCACGAGAGCACCGTCTTGCATGACGCTTGCAGTAATAAAGGAATGTTGTGTCCAAAAGAGATACGCGCTAAACGCGCACAGCGATCATCTCATGTCTTCGTGTTGCAGCACGTGCTAAAGCATGCTTTATTTTGTCTTACATGTGTTCTTTCGGCATGATATACGTGTAGCGATTTTGTGTCTACTCTTATCGCCGTCTCGTCAAGATTAACGTGCGTTAGAGAAATGCTGAGAATACGCATCGAATTAATTATTAAACCTTTGTCTTACGCTTTTTTGTTAGTTATAAAGAGAAATTGAATGTAATTATTACATTTTAACGTTGTGCAATGTCCAAACGAAAGCAATAATTGCATTCAATTTTGCGATTATTAGCTAATTTCTCTCTCTAGTATAAGTCTAATTTTTATGTGGTATAGAAGTACAACAAATGATAAACTATTACATTCGTTGCATATATATAGTTATTAATTTCAACTTATTTTTTACTTATTATTGCGCGGATGTCCATAATTTTTTATTGCGATTGTGACTTTGTACTACTTGTTGAGATTATGTAACGTGATTGTGAAAGTTTACGTTCCTATTGAAATTAATAACATATAATGAGTTGTTTTAGAGTAATTTATATTACAATGTGTCTATGACATATATGTCTTTATGTGCCGTCGTAATAAGATGTAAAACATTCAGTGAATTGGTAATATTATGTTATTTAATGAGACTGACAAAAATAAGTTTATGTAGCAGCTAGATATGATTGATATTAGCTAATCGACAGTTCGCATGACTGCGTTTGCCTTTATTTTGCACTACACATACTGATCAATAACACATATATATATAAGTCGTTGCGTTGTGAAAAGAAATTAATCTCATTAATTCGTTAACTCGTAATTTTTTTAGATGTGCATTCGATATAAGTTTTTTTAGCATTATTTATATAATTTTGCTCTTTGTTTTTCTTCTTATTTTTATTATTTCCTGCTTTACTCGCGTCTTTGTCATTTTCTCTTACTGCTCTTTTATTATTATTTTCGCTTGCCTTTTCGCTTTTCCGTGATATAATCCGCGCTTTCGTAATTTCATTGTCCTTCATATCGTTGCATTACTTCCCTTCTAATCCTTGTTTCTCTTACTACTGTTCTACCCCTCTAATCAGCGTAATTCTTTATCTTATTTCTATATCGCAGTATCGAGATCTGAATGTATAAAAATAGCAAAAATATTTTTAAAAATATCAGTTTTACACATGGTGCTAGAAATCCAGCTAATTAAAATATGAAAGAAAGGAAATTTTTGACAGGAAAATATAATATAAAACAGAAATATTCAGATCTCGATCTCAAGGCTTCTCTTTATATACGCTCTTCCTTTCAACCGTTGGCTCGGTTGTTCGTATATTAAATGGAAAATCGCTGGTTTGCAGAATCGCGAGGGTGATCGTTCAAGAGGCGGTGGTGATTTCCAGAGATCAGATTCGTCCCCAGGCTCGCGGCCCAGTTCGGTCTTACCGGATCTCTTGACTTCTTCACCAGGTCAACGACAGGACAAGTCGACTAGCGAGGAGGTCAGATTCATCTATCTTATATGTACCTATGTTCTCTGTCCTCTATATAATGATATATGCGCGCACTCGTGCATGTTCATGTACTCGTATTCCTTTCGATATATACAGAAAATGTGGTCCAATATAATATAATATATATTATTGAAGAAAGATTTTTTTAGAGTTGGTAATTTTTTATCAAAAAATATTAATAGAAAAAATTGAGAGAAATTAAGCGAAAGATTTGCATGCACGAGTGCGCGCGGATGCATCAAAATTTCCAAACAACTTATTTATTTTCACTTTATTATACAAAAAACTTATATGTTTCTCGTCGAGACTTGTGAGTCTTGTGAGCGATGTGACGTAACAACGTCGTACAATGATCGATAAAAAGATCTTAGATGATTAGACATTTCGTTCAGTAGCAATGAGAATGCTTTTTCATGTTATCGAATTGTCCGAGAAGTACTGTGCTTTTTGATTGGATCAAAGAGAAACGTTTCTTATATACTGTGTATATTTATATCTCATCTCGATTATTCTAAGCATACGTCGCAAAATAGGTACGTAGCGCGTGTTGGTACTGTGTTCTTATCCGCAAACCTGTGATTCGTATATATTATTTTATTTCGCCAGGCTTCTTGTGAACGAAGAAAAAGAGAAAGACTAGTGGCAACGACAGTAAAAAAACCGATACGATACAGTAAGAAATTTGCTTGACGCTTCGATACTTAAAATTCCGAAATACATGAAAATCAACTGAATCGCGTGATTTTTACATATCTATATATTATTTAAATTTTACGAGGGTTTGCGCACACAGGAGGCGGCTTATGCTTTGTGTCAGTGTCTTGTTAATTGTTCGTGATAGCCTACAAAGTGCATTTTGTTAACTATACGTATCAATCTGTTATTTCATTCCTTTAAGTTGCATTCTTATTTCATTATGAACTTTAGCAATTGGTATATAGACCTCGACGGTTTTTAATTTTATATTATTTTCTTATGCATAAACAAAATTATTATTATTACACGAAGGTATACGATGTTAGCAGAAGCTCAGAAAATTCCAACTTTAGCGAAAATGTCAGAAAATTGTCAATTCTCTCAGTAGAAATTTTATTCGATGTGTAATTTCTGGTGATTTTTCTACATACTTCTAGTAAGAAAAGAAAATAATAAAGAAAGAAGGAGAGAGAGTGAAAGTTACCACTAGTCTAGTAACGGTTCAGAAACGGTTCGCATCGTTGCTTACGCATCTTTTTACTCTATTCTCTATCAGGTTCAATATCAGAGAAAAGCTTTTGTGATTCTCGTTTCCCCATTCGTTATCGAAAAAAAATCGTACGCGATAATTTCGTTTTTACCCTGGCATCCCTAAATATTTCTCTACACATCTCTCGCTAACGAGAATTTCTCGTAAGCGTATATATATGTGATTCCTCAACCCCCCTGATTTGTCCCCTGATTTTAGAGACAGTTAATGTTTTCGTAGGAAGAGAAAAAAATCAATTACGTTTGAAAAGTATATATATATATATTTCCGATTATACAAGAGCACTGTACAAATCTTTCTTATTGGCAATCCACGTGCAAGAAGAGACGTGGAAGTCGCAAAACGAGCTAGTAGAATAATTACTCGAGCCCTGTAATATAGAATTACAGATTTTTAAAAATTTTTACGGTCACGCTTTGAGTATAGAATCAGTAGGCCATGTCTCTGTTTCACGTGCGATCTCCCTTTATAAGCGATCAATTATACGGTTGTCAGCGTGACTAATTCAGGATTATGTTGTGTGTTGTGGGACACGCGGGAGCTCTAACCCGAAGGGCAGGGCCCTCTACTGACCATTCCAATCCCAATACTAATTAAAATGTAAGTATCTCTCTATTCATCCATTTACACAAATTTCAACATTGTTTTCCCTCCCCCTCTTCTTCCCCCTCCTCGCGAGGGGAGGAGGCAGAAGGGACAAGGGCAGAATATACTCGTGTTACTTTGCTCTCGATCATTGATCTTTTTCATTATGCACACCGCGAGATGAATGCCAGTTTTTGTGCGCGGTCGTTTTATAACTCCTCTTTTTGTTGTTGGTTTGTGGGATCCTCTATTCTCTTGATTCTCGATGTCACACACCGGTAATTAACGACGATACATATATGTAATATATATTTCTAACACGACCACGTCGCGGCCACCGTTGCTTTTTGTTCTCACATCTCTCTCTTCCTTCTATCCTTTCTCTCTGGATTTTGTTTCTCATTCGTGAACAACGTGCGTGACAAACGTGCGCGAGATGAATCGCGCGTTTCACGATGTTTACGACTGTTTAATCTCGTGTTGGGTGCATTCGAGAATAACGGGACGCGACGCGATAATATATAATAAGCTAATAATTGTGTGGATGTGCCATTATTTAACACGCAGAGTTGGCTAGTTTCGAAATCTGCTTGTCTGAAATGCATCTCTCCGATATATACATACATATACATATATATGTGTGTGTGTGTGTGTGTGTGGGTTCATTATCATTGCGAGAATGCCTTTGCTCCGTGTTACTTTCACATATAATTTACTTTGCGTAATAGAAGCTTTAATTTACGAACGAGATATAATATTTGTTTGTATAGGAATGCTATGTAGATATCGCATATTTGACTCGACTGGTTTGTTCTTTCTTCATTTCCTCATTTACATCCTTTGCATGTTGTTCTTTTCGTTTTTTATTCTATTTGAAAAACCTATCTGCGATTTACATCTTTCTGCCAGTAGTGTTTTCGGGTTGAAGATGAGTTTTTCTGGGACTTTAGCATCTTTTGTTTTGTGTGTGTATGAAGTAGAAATTTCATTTGACGTGGTTCACCCGGGATCTCTTGAACGACAGAATCATCTCTGTTGCAGTATCGACAAGCGGTGAAATCACCACCTCCGTTTGCGCTTCAACAGAAACAGAGGTCTTTCCTGACTTTCGGATTCGGGGCCGGTCCAGCGAGAAGAGAGTCCCACGTAAACGTTAACGTCACTCCCACCAGCCATGATTTAGCCTCGGATACACCCGAGATACGCAAATACAAGAAGCGTTTTAACAGCGAGATTCTTTGCGCCGCGTTATGGGGTACGTATAACTATCCTATTAATTGCATGACAATTTTTCGAAATTTTGTCGAATTATGTAATTAATTTCTAAACGCTTTACAGGAGTGAATCTATTGATCGGCACCGAAAACGGCCTGATGTTATTGGACAGAAGCGGGCAGGGTAAGGTTTATCAATTGATCAGCAGGAGACGTTTCCAACAGATGGAGGTTCTCGAAGGTCAAAATATTCTCGTCACAATCAGTGGTAAGAAGAACAGAGTACGCGTCTACTATCTATCTTGGTTGAAGAGTAAGATTCTGCGGACGGACGGTCACAGCGACGTAAGTTTTATTTATACATCGTAGAAACTTTTTCTTCTTTTCTGATCTTTATCGCGAGAATATTTTTATCATAATATTATTTTATTCATTCACAGCAAGTCGAGCGACGTAACGGTTGGATTAACGTGGGCGATCTGCAGGGCGCCGTGCATTTTAAAATAGTGAAATACGAGAGGATAAAGTTCCTCGTGATCGCGCTGAAAGATTCCATAGAGATTTACGCCTGGGCGCCAAAGCCGTATCACAAATTCATGGCTTTCAAATCTTTCGGCGAACTTGCGCATAGACCGCTATTGGTTGACCTTACGGTCGAGGAGGGTACAAGGTTAAAGGTTATTTACGGTAGCGCCGACGGCTTCCACGCAGTTGATTTGGATTCCGCCACGGTTTACGACATTTATTTACCGAAACACGTAAGAGAAATCACATCCAGAATTGGATAGGATAGGTAGGAAGGTATACACGGCACGATTTATTGGCCGATCTGCTCGTTTCATAAATTGGGCAGGTTTCTCGGTGATAAATCTCTCTTGTACGATTTATCGTTAGTGGAATACTAACATGAACACGCACACATACGTTCTTTGCAGTATTTAACGATATATCCGCAGATTTTTACATTGAACTAGTTTTGCAACGGGAAACGATATTTTTTTTATTGCCAAACTCTTCGTTAAGATCAATACATATGTAAATTGATTGAATTTATTCATCAAGAGACATCAATGTGTATGCATAGATATATATGTATGTCCGTGTGTATTGTTTCTGAACTTGTATGCATTATACAATTTTTCCAACAATTTTGAAAAATGATAAATCGCTCAAATCGACCGAGAAAAAATCGTCGTGCATATTTATCTGCCTATCACAGCCTTTATTTTCTTTAAAATCATATGGCAGTGTATATTATAATACACTTTTCTAATTACAGACCCAAGGCCCTATTTGTCCTCACTGTATAGTAGCGTTGCCTAATAGTAATGGCATGCAACTGCTACTTTGCTACGATAATGAAGGTGTATACGTAAATACTTACGGCAGAGTATCCAAAACGATGGTTCTTCAATGGGGCGAGATGCCTACGAGCGTCGCATATATTGGCACGGGGCAGATTATGGGTTGGGGTAACAAGGCGATTGAAATCAGAAGTGTGGAGAGCGGTCACCTCGATGGAGTTTTCATGCACAAGAAGGCTCAACGGCTCAAGTTCCTCTGTGAACGTAATGATAAGGTACGTACGATACATCTCGATTCGAATTTGCATATTTTTACGAACGTAACATTTTTAGAACGCTATATATTTATTTAAAATAATTTCCTTGCTTATGTTGTAAACTTATACGTTTTATCGCCTGTCACAGGTGTTCTTCTCATCGGCAAAAGGCGGTAGTTCGTGCCAGATTTATTTCATGACATTAAACAAACCGGGCATGGCCAACTGGTGATTCCGAATGAGGCCGAATTTGGCCCCAAAATTATCTTCGCGATTACCAATGCCTCCTCCGCGTGTATCGGGATATACAGCCTCGGCTCGTACACTCGCCCGCCCTTCACTGCCAGGACTCAGCGCCTTGGAGAATAGGAGGTGCATGCATCGTATCCAGCATCCTTATCAACAACAGCATCAGCAGCGTCATCAACGTCATCGTCAATATTATTCTTATTATTATCCGCGTAATCTTTCAACGTCGTACAATTACAATTATGAATACGAAGAGGACGAAGAGTGCGACGATAGGTTTCAACGATACTGTCGGCCCTTGCGAAGCGCGCCGGGGACGTTAACATTTGTGAATCTTCTCGTCAAGAGATTTCTGTGTATTCTCACTTGCACGCCCTGCGGATTGCGCGGCGCGGCCTAACACAGTGCTGAAACACGGAGCAAATTTTTTCAAGAGCGCGCACGATCAAGTATTGCACGCTGGTAAATCGTATCGAAGGTATTCTCTATGTATTTTTCCCTCTCTTTCTAAAAAAAAAGATACAAATTTATCGCTCTAATTACACTACGATAAGTCTGTATTTGTTTTGCGTTGGCATGTATATGTAAACTTGAATTCTCGCAAAACCTTAATGTTAAAAACATAAAAACAACGGAACAAAGTGTATTTTAATGTGTCTGATGAATAGATCTAATGATTAAGAGTGTTTTATACGAAGAATGATTTAGAGAATAACGTAATAAAACATAAACTTCATTTGTGTTCTGATCTTTCTAAAATCGCGAGTAGATAGACGTAAGTACAGCGCTGACGAATTACCAGTGACGCAGCGATCATATATCTGGCTGATTGTTGTACTATGTGCAACATAAGGAAACTCGTGCAATATCGCTGGATCGGTCTGTACAAAATAAAGAGTGACTCTATTTCTAAGAGATTGTTCTTGCTCGATAATCGCGCGGCAAGGAAATATTCCGATAATTGAATTGCGAGTGTCGTATAAAGAATCGGAAATCTCGAAGAATATAAAAGAAAAGAAGAAGCTCGTATAGTGTTTGCAATCGTGATTATTTTCTTTGTCAGAGTTTGTCAATTTTTCAATTCTGGTGTGTGGTCTTAACAAAAAAAAAAGTGTAACGTCGTTTTAATAGAAACAAACGCGTTACGACAGACTGACGCCATAAATAAACGGGAACGACGTCGTTTTTATATACGACGCGATATCATGAAATAAAATTAGAATTAAGTGAGAGTAATTACTAACGTTAATTAATTGTATAGTTATAGCAGCTGAGGATTCTTTTCGCGGACTTGTGACGATGACGCGATACGAGATAACGTGGATAGGATAACCTTGGATGGATGAAAATCGCATTTTTACAAAGTAGTAGATTAATTATACAGTAGGGATTTCGCGACGCGCGACGTTGAAACGATGTTATATAGCTAAGTTTTCCTCTTGTTTTTTTCCATGTTATTTTCACGTTCGAATAATCTTTCTTGTTATGTTCAATACGTGTCTCTGTACTACGAGAAACCACATTCGCACAACAATCTTTCGTCGTGACGTCGTCGACGAACAACGTAGACGATATAGTCTTCAGCTTTTGTAAGAAATTTGTAACTTAACGAGAGGAGACGCGCATTAAAAAGAGAGCATCCCGCTCGTTCCTTGATCGCGGATCGCTAATATTCCGCTTCCGAAAGCGGTTATTACACGATCTGATCTCATAATCTCAAAGATACTCTCTCCTGGTTGAAAGGGAATCCTTCATAATTTTATCGTACGCGGTTTTATTGATGTCGGATTATTCTCAGCCGATTTAAGAGAGCTTACAGTGTTAATAATGAGGTGATAAAGGAAGAAATTTCAAGTTACGCTCGTTCTTCGTTCACGTTGTTTACGATATTGGAGTTATTGAACGTACGTAATTAGTATACGTAATTACTTGCAGGGATTTCATCGATAAAAGTTACTTTATGGAGACCTAACGATTGGGGAAACATATTTTTAGCATTACAGGTATAATTACGCATTACCAACGTGACACGAAAGAGCAAGTACAGGCAGGAATTATGAAAATTAATTAAGTAAGAATCGGTTATCGGCTAACGAAAACTTGATTGTGATCGTGTTAATTATGCGACTGTGAAAATTGGACTGTGCTTGGAATTCGAAGATAAGACAAATGTAGTGAATATCGCGGTGAGCAAAATCTTGAAAAAAAAATATCTATCTCCCTTTTCGTCCAGGCTTGCGGTCAGGCTGACATATCTTTTTTGCTCGTCACGCGTTTTAAAACGAACGATTAAAGTGACCGATCTTTATCGACGATTTAAAAAAAATGTACTTTTAATATTAAGACATTATGTAATACGACACGTATTTATTTACGATACGATTAGGTAAATGCGATAGCGATGATCGATAAAAAAAAATCAAGTTTCGCGAGAGATTGTACGTTCATTTATTTATTTGTGTACAAATAAATAAATATATGACGTGTCTCGTGCAGGCGACACATTTTACTCGAATCGATAGCGATTTTTCACGGCGGTATCGCGTAGCAATCGTGAAATTGCATATGTTGTAAACGTCGTTGTAAGCTGTCGACGTTATCAGTTGGTAACGTATACAATAGATATTATACGCGCTCGCGGCGAAACATTTTTTATACCATTCACACGAGAAGGCACAGAAAGGGGCGGAAAGCTCCGGCATAGTGCAACGAAAGACTGCTTTTTAAACGGAGGAAGCTTTTTATCGCGCGAGAACAGAGAACGAGTGGGATAAACCGAACAAAAGAAGGGGAGAGATTGCAAAGAGAGAACGAAAGTGCGAGAGCGAATGAGAGAGAGAGAATGAATTTTTGGCAAGAACAAAAATATACTGCACTTTCGAGCGGTTATTTACGATTGGTAGAAATGTGGATAATATATAATAATATTATTAATTACCTTAACTAGCGCGAACTAATTTTATACGAGGGACTTCCCTTTTCTTTGTATCCTTGGATCGATTTTGACCCTACTCCCTCCTTTTCTAATCTTTCTACGGCGTTCGATTTCCTCCCCTTGATTGACCCTTGATTCTCTTTACATATTGTCTCCCAAAGATGGTAGTGATGATTTTTTTTTTTTTTACAGTATATAGGTAATAATTATAATTACGGCAATTTGTATCGATTGTATTATTACTATTATTCCTATTCTTACGAACGTCACGATCGTTAGACGCGATGTATACTATGATTACGACGATTATTATTTTTATTATTACTATTCACACACACATACACACGTACATACACATACACACTATTGCTAAAGTCAAATATACGGACATTCGTAATTTCATCGATGCGTTTCTTTATTCGCAGCCCCTCATGCAATAAACCGGCGACTTCTTGACTTCTTTGCCCTCCTAAAAGGTATACAATCGCAAGTTCTAGCTAGTTTATCGCGATAAGTCACTACGGTTAATTCGCACAGCGAATCGCTAACGCGATTCCCGCGAGTTTATTGTGCAGCGCGATGCTTATCGCGACTGCGAGTTATCGATGTTTGTTGAGAATGTTCATGCGCTTCCGGAGCGCGCGCGATCGAATTTCTCCCGGCGCTTTCCTAAACCGGATTTAGCTTCATCGTTTACCAATTTCCGTTTAATTGTTTTGAATTGCGATTGTTGTTTCAAACTGCTGTCGATGCTGTCGATGGCGGAACAGTGTATCATTCACATTTAAATACTTCGTATATCTTTTGTGCTTCAAACATTGAGTTCCTTTTAATTTGTTCTAAATATCGCTCTTTGAATAACGCAAATTTACGAAGAATTTTATTGATAATTTTGTGTATGTGTATAATAGAAAAAAATCTTTGAGTAGAATATGCAAATCGCCGTTGCTTGCGAAGTCTGAGCCAATATTATCGCAAGTGTGAATTAATTTTCTGTGAATTCAGATTCCTGGTATCGAAGAAACGAGGAATCTTAATTATGCGAGTACAAATATAGTTAATAAATATGTTAATATCATTATCAGATTTTTTCAGGAAAGACAAATCTCTCCACACAAATGCTTAATTATTCATCAAATCTTTCATAATTCTTTAACAATATAATTGTTATTTTTATAATCTTTTATTTTTTACGCTTTTATAATGTAAAATTATTTGAATCCTAGAGTTGTCTTCTTCTGTAACAATTATAAATATCCAAATCGATATGTATATATATATATAAAATATGTATATAACATATAAAACTTTTCCAGATAAAAGGGATAAAACGCGCGATATATATTTCTTGCTATTTTCAAGCTGATATTAAAGAAGGATCCAAGAGAAAAATCTGCAAACTCCTTCGATACCGGGGCAGTCTGCGGATTGTAGTTCTTGTTGAAGAAACCCGTTCTTTCTTCCCCCCTTCCTTTAGGGGATAGTATACACTAAACTATTAACCCTCGTAATACCTAAAAGCCGATATATCGGTTTTTGTTACATAGTAGAACGTACTTGACGATCGATATATCGACATGTTAGTTAGTGTACTATCTGCTAACAAAATTATTAATGTTTAATACTTTAAACCTCACCCCCGATACACGCGTATAATGGTCGGAAATAAGAACAAAACTACCCTTCGACAACCCTCGGTCGTTCGTTCATTCGCCGTTCGCACAATCGCGATCAGTGTTAAAATTGTTCAATGACCGAGATTTCGGGCGGAAGAGATCTTGGAGACGTTCTATAAAGTTTGATATTACGGGCGGAGATCGAGTTGAACTACCAGCAGTCTGTATTAATGATGGCTAGTAATTAGCAGCAGCGGGAAACTCAAAAGGGCCGCGGACCGTTCCCTCGGCGCGAGAATCAGAAAGTTTCGTTTCCGTGGGTAATGACGCGAGAAAGCACATGTATATGTGATATGTACACGTACGTATATATATACACTGGAGAATATGTTTATTCGAAAGTTGCATGCGCGTTAAACGCATTAAAAGTATTCCCCGGAATGGATCTGTGTGCGAAGTTTCGCCCCCGAGCTAGATTTAACCACCTGATCCGCGTTGAACGCGGAAATCCCCCGAATCTCGATTCGCTCTATCTCGATAACAACTTCGGATATATATATATACCGGATAACAGAGAGAGAGTATACCCTTTTAAGATATCGTAATACGCGATCTTTTCATTAGCCAGAGCGGAGAACAACGTCGCGTTATTTTTTTCGATTACCGTCCATGTTGAAAGAGGTGCTCTTAACGATTTTGATTTCAATTTTAAATTCTGCCGAAGAACGCGAAGAAAAAATTTTTTAAATAAAAAGGAAGTAAGAGATGTAGTATATATATATATATATATATATTTCTTTTCTCAGAAGGAAAATATTTATTAAAGAAAGAGGAATGTGGCAGGGGGATGGTTCTTGGATGTTACTTGAATGTAGACACCACCATTCCACGAGCCAATATTACGTTCTGACGGTCTACGCTTTTTTTTTTTTTTTTTTTTTTTTTTTTTTATTTCAGGGCACGTCTAAAGACCGTAGCCGAACGCTTTCTTCTCTACGAGAAACGAGAAACTTATGTTTTCGGAGTTAATTGTATGCAAGCCGTGCGGGCGAATCGGAAGCGCTCCTTCTCTTTCTTCGTTTCGTTTCTCTGTGTATCCATCTCGTTTCCAGCCGGCTTTTCCCAGTTCGGTGCGAGGCGAAGGAAGAAGGGAAGGGAAAGCGATTCGGTTCCCATTACCGGGAAACGTTTGAACGTAAGTTGATTGCTCGTAGTATGGACTTTTGTATTCTCTAAACTCAGAAGCATTATCGTTAACGAGCAAACGATAGTCGCTGGAAGCGCAGTCGATACCGGAGTGCCGGCGGTACTTCCGGAAATTCTTGCGCAACTAAACAGCTCCTAATGAGCTTGGCGAGTAATACTCGGAAATCGACCAGTGGATCGGAAACTAAGTTAGGGGGAGCGATTAATTCAATTCGCCGCCCTGTTTATTATTAGTTTCGCGGTAATCGTGTATCTCGAATCGCCGGAGCGGCGATATCTTTTCCTCCGCCGCGTGCTTTCCATACGATATACGATTTTTCCTTGCATCCCTTATTCCTTTTCCTATTACCAATTACACTTTTATCTATATAATTCACAATCACACGTTGCAAGCAGTCTCCGCATTGCAAGAGTTACGATCGCTTCGAGAACGAATTTCCGTCGCTTTTATTTCCTCGAGAAATAAGGTGCCCCGCATATTCTTCCGGTACTTTCGGCTTTTTTTCTTTTCTCGCAACATACGGCTTCTCATTCCGCGGAAAGTCTCGTTGATGCTCTCGGCATCGCCGAATATACGGCACGAATAATCGCAGCAGCCGCGTGTGACCCGGAAACGAAATATTTCCGACAGTGTCGCAGACATCGTAGGTCGGTCTATTTCGCTGTCGTATTTTCCCTTTCTTCTTTCCGTCCAAAAATCGCACCTACCGTTCTCTGTCTCTCCGATGCTATCGCCGCCGCGTCGAGAGGCCCGCGGATGTATACCTTTGATATACAGGCGAACGCGCTATCAGAGAGCGAAAACTTGGATCCAGCCTCCCGTCGATAACAGCCCCGGTGGATCGCGGTCGGTCCAGGATAAACGGCTGAATTCTCCCTCTGCGAGGTGCTCTTGCGTCTTCTTGCCCGAAACTGTATCTGTCTCTGTAAACGACAGTATTAGAAATATTTTATTATTTTTTCGATGCAACGAGCAGCGCTATTTCTCGTAAAATGAGCGTCCGCAGGACTCTCTATTTTTTATTATTTTCATATTTTTATTTTCCCTCTCTAAAAGAGCATTCAAAATCAATTATCGCAAATATTGTTAGTGCTTTTCCGACGAAAGCACTCTCTTTCTATCCTTTCTATTAGATTAGTACATCACGCACGTTTGTCACGCTGCGCGTCCCGCGCGAGACTGATTCTCGTTCGAGACATTGCGATTGCGAGATTGATGATCACGTGATCAGTCTCGCACGAGCCGTGCAGCGTAGCGGACGCGCGAATCTAATCGAAACGCAGATATTTTGATCGAAAGATTCTTGCAGAAAATTCTATCTTTTTGTTTTCGGTTAAAAATTTATATATTAAATTTTTATGAATCAAATTATTAAATATATTTTATGCACGCAATGCATTGCAATAATAATTTTATGCGTTGCATTTTTAAGGTTTTATTATCACAGAATAATATAACTTCGCTTCGCGCACGTAATTATATTCGATTAAACTAAACGAAATGAGAAAAAAATGTATAAAGAGATGCATACATACAAAATAGTTCTCAACCAATACAATATAGAAATTCGGGAATTAAAATTATATATACAATAGAAATTGGATAAATTAAATGATGTACGTAATAGAAATAATTCGGCGAATTAAAATTATGGTCATATTCATCGCACCAAGCAACTGTCATCGCGAAGATTAATAAAATAATAGAAATAATATCAATAGCGCACTCTTGTGTTGTTTAATATTAAATAAAATTGCAAATAAATTTCAGTGTTTATTCACAAGGAGAGCAAATGCTTGATTATTTTACTGATTCCAAGGACGATAAATGCCCGGCTTGATCTCTTCTGCGAACGCCCATGATCCCAACCAGAGAATACATCTTCGAATATGCGTGCACTTCTACGCGAAATGTTCAGTTCTACAAATCCAAGTTTGTAAGCAGCCCTCTTGCGAGCTCTTCGTTCGCGCGTCTGCTAAGCACGTACTAATCTTAAACATGTTTCAAGATCATGGAACAACTGTAATATTTCAAGCATTTGTATACCTCTTGCCGCCTGTGTTTCTCATTTAACAGAATAATACGCGTAATATATATAAATCTGCAGTTGATGTACAACATGTATTTGTATCTGCGTATAATATTTTCGACAATGTTACAACGCTAAATTAATTAAAGAATGTAGGACAAATAGAACTGTTGAATGCAGGACAGAATATAACTGATTATTAATTTAAGATTATTCGAGTTACGGTTCGTACAGTTTTATAAAAAAATTCTGACAATTAGATTATTTGTTTATTCATGAAATGCGACGTTTCGAGGGTGAGAAAAAATTCCATCCCTATATCCGATACCATAAATATATATACTGGTAAATAAGATATGACGGCTTTTAATAACGAATAGCTTTAAAACTGCCACCGATCAATATCCCTTCCGGCTTTTTAACATTATAACGATGATGCGATATTAAACCGCGCTCAGAGTGCCACAGTCTTCAATCTTTTACTTGTATATACGTAAAAAAAAAAAGAACTTTTTTTTATTTCGTTGCTTATTTTTTTCCATTCAATGTAATCATATATGTATCCAGATTAATCTCTATTATTTATTTGTATATACATTTTGCCGAACAAAGATTAATGGTTTACTTTCTGTCATATTTTATATTCATACCTATTCAGATTTTATTTAATCTTCCGGGGGGATATAGCTACATATTTAATCTTCCTTTTTTGGAGATATATTTTATTGATTATATTAATATAATATTTTCTGCAACATGTGTCACAGGAGACTATTAATACGTAACACGAGAAATGAATAAAACGTGAATCAAGAATATGTCTCATAAATGCAACATGTCAACGTAAATATAAGCTCAACCAGGTATGTAAGAAACTTTTTTTTAATGATCAACCGCATCAGTAAAGGGAAACGAGAGAGCTGAGAAAAGAGAAGGATCGCGATCGAGATTATTTTCACGATCAAAGCCGCATTCTTGCTCTCGAGACGAGGTAGATCCTCTCTCTCTCTCGCTCGCTCCCATCCGGACGATTAATCTTGGCGGAAAACATTTACGACCCCGGCGCTGCGGCACGAAGCGGCTCGCGAAAAGCGCGGAAGGACCTTAGATCACGACAGCCCGGAAGAATATGGCCGGGACACGAGGGGTTGGCGATCGAATCACGCTGGAGAATATAGAATAAAATTATTCTAACGCGCGCAATCTTCCTCCCTCTCGCACGCATTCTAAAGAGCGGAATCGCGCGCGGTTGTATCGCGGCCGGAAAAAGAGGGAATAAAAAGACGAGAGGAATTTGCACGGGCGATTGATGATTCGCAAAGTCGCGCTGGAGATCGCGGAGGGGTGAACGAGGTGGCGGAGAACGCGCGCGAGTAGACGCAAGGATAGGGTGGAAGTGGAAGCTGGAGGTGGCGGCAGTCCTGGCGATGCGATGGCGCGCGCGAGCGAGAGAGAGAGAGAGAGGCGGCGGCATGCCACTCGTTCGCAGGATACTGGCGGCGTGTATGCCGGCGGTGGCGAACGCGCCCGGACATCGATACAGCTCCGCCGCCACCACACTTTGCCCCCGATCCTCTCTCTCTCTTCACCCTCCCTGACCCTCCCTCCGTTCGCGCGCGACCCTCTCGTGTGCGAGTCTCCCTCGTGCACGGCACCGCACGCATCCCTCTCGCGTGGTACCCGTATATATACTATCCGCGCGCATATATGCCATTAGCCCCCCTTTCCAGAAGGCGAAACCTGGTCCGCTTATGCTGTGTGTATATATATATATATGTTATATTTTCGCGTCCGACACTTATTGCCGCATCGCTCGACTTTCGTTCTAACGTGTGGAACAACGCGCGGCCTAACGAGTTATTTCAGGGTTAATCCAGGGATCGTTCCTCTTAATCATTTCTCTCTCAGTCTGTAATGCGCTTTTGAAGGTAGACATCTGTCTCTTCCCGTATACGTGGTCTGTTGTGTGTATAAATGCGCGTGTACAGGAAATATCCGCGGTGTCTTTTATTAGCCCTGCAAAATTATTACGCGGATTAAGCGCGGCGGACTTTACGATCTATAAGAATTTACTCCGGGGAATATTTTAACGTGCAATGTGTTATATATATTTTGCATGCGAGGGAGAGAGGGAGAGATGCGCAGCTTTAAAATATTCCTCTTAGAATATATATTTCTCCGGTTTTTATTCCATAAATTTTTACTCTCTTCGGAAAGCGAGATGTGCGCGACAAATTAGCTACTGTTGGATTAATTTGATCTATTAGCCGCGGTCTTTTTATCAACGCGCCGAGTTCTTACGACACATGGTTCTATATACTCACCGTTGTACTTTCCTCTTTACGTTTCTCTCTTCCTTTTATATTTTATTTTTTTTCTTTTTATTATTTTTCCCCGCTCTCTCTCTCCCATCATTTACATTACTTGCAATTAAACAATTCTTTAAGCATCAGCGCGGTAAATTACTGAACGGCTCTCATCGCAATTATTGAACGCAAATCGTTAATGAGAACAATTAACATCGAAATTACACGTTCGATTCGAGATTATTTTACTCGGTGAGTGTTTATTAACGCGATAGCGCGGTACACACCCACGTGTATACGAGAAACGTCGCCCTTTTTGCGCACGGTAATACCAAAATTAACGTCCGACGAGCTCATTTTGGATCTCATCCTCCGTAATCCTCCGGACTAAATTGCACATGCATCGGCGCATCCCGCGGCGGAGGAACGCATGCTCGTTTGCGTATCATTAGCCCCGGATGCAGAATGTGGCTCTATCCACGATGGTCGCCCTTGCTGCCTTGCGAATCGCTTTAAAAGAGTCTTAAACGCAAATTAATTAAGTAGCGCAAACCTAATTAAAGCGAATCAATATTGATACGGTTTTTATGCGGTTAATCATTGAGCGCGTTTGATAAATTTATGACAGTGACTGATAGCGAGTGCGAGGGAAAATCCATGTGTGTCGGTACGCTTAATTAAATATTAAGAAACATCGGATTAAATTGATAAACAAATGTTGGGTGCGCGTGTTGTTGGTTGTGCAAGTGGGCGAAGAAATAGTTTTGCATATTTCGGAGAAAAAAATTCAAACGTGTATACAGCGATGTTTTCGTGCAACTTTTCATTTTCAAGAAAATCGAAATGTAACATGTATTATTTATTCTCTTCTGTTGCATACGTATATATTTTCTTTAATTTTTAATGATACTATAAATCGAAATACACGAAATTCAGATTTATATAATTAAAAGCGCGTAAAACACATTTTATTTAATAAAATCTAGATAATCTTTCCCTTTTCAATTCTTTTTATGAATTTATTTGACCATTTTGTAATGCTATATTTTTATCATTTAATATGTCCTTTATAAATAGAAAAATTATTTTATTTATATTACGCCGACGTTGAAATACACTAGACAAATTTATGTCGCGATGTAATTAAAAGTTGTTAAATGAGAGAGACAAAGGTTATAAAAATAATAAAAATATTATTAAACTCGGTACAAATGCATATATATATATATATATATATCATTTCTTTATGTAAACTGTCATAAACACATTTCATTCGCATTCAAATGCGATCGAAATTTTTGTTCCTTTGCTTCATCACTGCTATTCATACGCCTTAACAGAGTTTAGTCTTACTCTTTTTCATTTTCGTATCATTAGTAAGAAAGAAAGAAAAACTTTGTTCCACTTTTACCAGATTACACGCGAATCATCTGAATTTCTTAGATTAGTTTAACTTTAACCAGATTTATCGAAGAACCGTAAATAAAGGTAAATAAACGTAAGGTTGTAAAGCGTTTCCGCAACATTAAGAGTTAAGAAAATGGACAAACAACCGAGAAGAAAGATGGAACAATAACGCGAAGAACGC